TGTGTTTTCCGATGGTCTTAGGCGACCCTTGTGAAAGGGTCGTTCGACCCCCAAAGGGGTCGCGACCCACAGGTTGAGAACCGCTGCTCTAGAGGGTGTTGGCAGTGACCAGTCTTGGGTAGCAGGCATCTCTCCCCATCCCTACGGAGTAGAGGCTCCCACAAATGGCTCAGAAGGAAGTGGGGCTGGGGCTCCTCGTCTCCATCTTTCAAACAGGGAAACTGAGGCCCAGAAGTATAAGCGAGCTGGTAACCGAGCTGGGTGAGGACCCAGGTCTTTCCACTCCCCATGAAATGCTCCTGGTGCTGCACCTAACTGCCATGTGAGCATTTCAGGGTGTTTCAGGCCAGAGAGGGTGATGAGCCCCTGTGGGCTGGCAGCCAGCAAGTCCCAGGACACACGCCTGCCAGGCAGCCAGAAAGCAATTTCCCAGTGTGATTCTTGCTTTTCACAGCCCATTAGCACGTTCCCACATTCTCGGCCATGCTGGACCCACTCTCACCGTGCCCTCTCCATCTGTCAGTGGGAGAGGTTGGACAGCCCGGCACGGCCTCCTTCCCGCGCACATTCATGCCCGCACACCCCCCGGGGCAGGCTGCTGTGTTTGGGGGAGCAGCCCCTCCTCACCATGGCCCCCACCTCCTCTCCTAGCTTGCTTCTTCCCTGGGCCTGGCAAACAAGGTCCATTTTGTTTCTGATGATGCCAGCTGTTCGCAGCACCTCGTAGGTAATGACGCCTATAAAAGGCGTTGTTTCCTGAGCATTTACTGTACTCCAGGGACTGTGCTAACCCATTGCGTACCTGATCACCATGAGTCATTGAGAAAGCTGCACAGGGTGGGCACGGCTCTTAGCGAATTTCACACGGCAGAAAGGGGCTCACCGAGGGTAAGGCACTTGCCAGTAAGCGGCTGAAGCACGATTTGAACTCTGCTTGCTCTGGTTGTGAAGAGCCTGTCATCCACATAGAACTTCACGACCCAACACGGGATCATTCGCCACATACAGTTATTTCCATGAGGTAGAATGAAACACTCAGACCTTCAGTCCTCTAGCCCCATGGCAGGTGCCACAGTCATAGGAAGCTAGCGACTGCCCATCGGACAACGCAGACTCATTCCATCGCCACACACAGCACGTTCTGCTGGGCGGCGCTGGTGTAGAATATCAAAGATGGAAAGGCCTCTGCTAGTTCGCCTCCTCCAGACCCCACCCCCATGCTGCAGATGAAGACACTGAGGCCCATTGATGCCATTCCCCTGCCCAAGACCTCCAGCACGACGGAGGCCTGAGACTCTGACCCCCAGTGTCTCTCTGTCTCACGCGCACCCCTCCCTGCCCACATTCTGTGACCCTCTTGATAACGTGGATACACGCTTCAGACCCAAGGGTGATGCATCTGTGCTCTGTCCCACCCAGAGCCACGTGGCTTCACGGACACCAGGGCACTGACAGGGCTGCCGACACACACCTGTGAGCAGACACGTTTCCTCGACCCCTTTGCACCCAGGACACGTTCCCAGGCACTCCCAGGACCCTCCCACAACACCCTGCACTCACACGGAGCCCTCACGTGCAGGCCTCATCCCTTCCTCTTGGGAGCCCTGGTCACTTCCTCCACCCTGCCCTCCCCACCTGGGCCTCCTCCCCTCTCCCTCTCTGTCCTGTTTCCAAGCTCCTGCCCACCCACTTGCTGGCCACCTGCTCAGCTCAGGGCCGGGGGAGGAGTGGGCTGGCTCTTCTGTTTGCCAAGGCAGCTGCGCTGTGGCCACTCGCTCAGGCTGGACCAGAATGCAGAAGCATGCCCTTCTGACGCAGAAGATAAAAGAGGAGGAGGTTAGGGCAGCAGGCTCACTGCCCCCACTCTCATTCTTCCTACAGATTCCCCCTGCCCCTCCTCTCCCTGGTCCCAGCCCCTGGGCAGGCGCGGAGGAGCCTTCCCACTCTGGACGCAGGTTCTTTGGGGCCTCTGTGCTCAGAGCCCCCTGTGACGCCCACCAATGCTGGTTTCTAGGACAGGGCGGGCATCAGGCGGGACTTCCCCAGAAGGTGGGCAAGACAGTGCCAAGCTGGCTGGGACAACATGTTAGATTAAGATACAGATTCCCTGGGCCCCACTCAGAGGTCTGAACGGGGCCTTAGAATACACATTTTTTAAAAAATATATTTTATTGATTTTTTACAGAGAAGAAGGGAGAGGGATAGAGAGTTAGAAACATCGATGATAGAGAAACATCGATCAGCTGCCTCCTGCACGCCCCCCAGTGGGGATGTGCCCGCAACCAAGGTACATGCCCTTGACCGGAATCGAACCTGGGACCCTTGAGTCCGCAGGCCGACGCTCTATCCACTGAGCCAAACTGGTTTGGCAAGAATACACATTTTTAAAACACCCCCAAGGGGTTCTGAAACAGCCAGTTGGAGGACCACTGATTTAAGGTCTTTATCTAGAATGGGGCTTTATTTCTCTGGTGGGGAAATTCCCTCCCTCCCTCCCTCCCATAGGAATTGAACTCCCGCTTGGACCACGCAGGGCCTGCGTGCTGGTGAGCAGCACTGAACCCGGCCCTGCTCGGGAGCTTAGCGCCTCCTCCTTCGTGGCCCTGTCTCCCCCTGGAGATCTCGGAACCTTTCCCAGAAGTGGCCACTTGCACCAGTCTCTCTCCTGGGGCCTTTGGAAATGGTGGCTGAGCAGGGGACCCGAGCAGGGACCTGAAGGTCTATGAGTCCAAGCCCTGCCTGGGGAGCATGGGTACCTTTGAGAGGCACGTTGGGCCCTATGTTCCTCAGGCGCCTGTTCCTATTCCTGACACCGTGACTGAAAATCCTCTCCCTAGCTCGTTCCAGTCTGTCTCATTGTTGCTCAAATCTACCTCCTGTTCCTGCAAGTGACATCTATGGGTAGCAGCCACTGGGTACCTGGGCACGGGGGTGTGGAAAAGCTCATTCAGGCCCTGGCCCGAGGGAGCTCACTGTCAGCCGGGGAAGACAACCTGACCAGCAGCTACACACCTGAGCTAGAGGGCGAGTTGCAGGGGGGGGGGGGGTCTGGGAAAACAAACCAAAAGCTCCGTCACGGGAGGCTTCCCAGGGTGGGTGACCGGGTCCTGCTGCTTTACTCTGGGTGCAGGACAGGCAGGGGCTGCACACCCCGGGGAGGGCCTGTTGCTGTGTGAGACTCTCCATCTGCCCGTGAGTTCTGGCTTTCTCCAGCTCCCTCCCAGCTCTTTCTTCCCATCTTTCTCCACAGTGTCCCACCATTCCCTGCAGGCTCCCTCATGCTGCCCAGACACAAAGCCAGTGACACGATGCCCAGGGTCTGTGCAGAGAGGGCATCTGTGCCGGCCTGCTGGCTTCCTCGGTGCCTGCCAGTGTCCTTCTCTGTCCCCACCAGTCTCATCTTGGTGGCTGGGCCCTGCTCGTATGCTTAGGAGGGGGATCAACATTTGGAGGATATGACGGGGTGCGCCCACAGCAGGAGCCTGGACGTGCAGGCCAGGAAGCGGCAGGCTCAGTGGTGGGGGAAAAGCCAAAAACCCTGGAGCGCAAATAGCTGAGTTCTTGATGCGGCCCTGCCTGGCACTCGCTGTGTGACCTTGTGCAATCTGCACTGAGCTACACGGAAGCTGAAGCTCTGAGTCCCACTCCAGACCGAAGGCATCAGAATCTGCATTTTAGCAAGACACCCGGGTCCTTTGTATGAACCTTAAAAATGGGGAAGCCTGCCCCGCAGACTTGCTTCTTGTCATTAGTCAGCCTGTGTTCAGGGTGGTAATGCTGGCGACCACGGTCAGTTCCAGCCCCCCAGCCGCCGCCTCTGTGATGGAAGGGGTTGGACCAGATGACCTTTGTGGTGGAGGGTACAACACGACACCAAGGTGCCAGCTGTAACCTCCGACTAGTTTTGTTTGGCCAGAGACTATGTTTATATTTAAAAAGAATAAGGTGCCAGTATTTAAAAATTGAGACATTTTCACATAAATACTTCAAATTCTCTTCTAACCACCAATACTTAGAAGATGAAATCCCAGGAACATCCTAAAACATAGAAAAAGATGCCCAGCCTTACTCTTAGTATGAGAATTACCAATCAGATCTACACTGAGTTGCCATTTGTTACCGGTCTCGCGAACAAAGATAAGAAAGTTTGATAGCACACCACGTGGGCAAGAGTGGAGGAAAATGGGCCCCTCACCGTAAGTCGGTACAATCTCTAAGGCGGAAAATCTCTCATTTCTATCAGAATTACCAAACAACACCCACCCTTTGACCAAACAACACAGGTTCTAGAAATCTATCCACAAACACTTGCACACATGGGAAAAGTAATTATAACACACACGTGGAAGGTTAGTGGTTGCAGCGGTGTTTGTAATAGCTACAGGTTGGAGCTAACCTGATGGCCTTCAGCAGAGGTTGGCTAGGTAAATCACAGCCATATGATTAAATACAATATTGTGGGGAGCTCTTTGTGTAATGGAAGGAGGCTCACCTAAATATCTAATGGAAAATAGAGGATGCAGAACAGCTTGCAAGATCCAGTAGCATTTGCATGGGGGAGAGTGTTTGGAAAGATGCTCTGGTAACACTGGCCGTCTCTGGGGAGGGGACCCCCGAGACTGGGTCCAGGGGTGAGAGGGAGTCTTTTCACTGTCTACACTTTTGTATTTTTTGAGCTTTGAAGCATGTCAATGTGTTACCTATTCAAAGAAAAAAAAACACACTAAAGACTTTCAGGGACCTAGATTCTGTGATTCTAACACTACGTGATTCTAATGTTTTATAATTTGGTGAGTCTAACTTACTAGGCCTCTGGAAGGCTCATCAGCCATGGTTCTCCTGGGTCTCTGTCCCCTGCTATGTCCCTGGAGCGGCCACAGCATTCCCTCTGAGCTCGAGCAGTCCCGAAGGAGGGTTCCCTACCCACCACGGTGAAGCTGCATCAACACCAGCATCTCCTGGGCCTTCCCTCACCCCCTTTGGCTTCTCTGTCCTCCTAGGGGAGCCTTCTCGGTGGTGCGCAGGTGTGTGAAGGTGCTGGCTGGCCAGGAGTATGCTGCCAAGATCATCAACACCAAGAAACTCTCGGCCAGAGGTAGGTGGGAGATCCACGCCTTCCCACCTTGGGGGGTCTCCTTCCCTTCACCCCTCCCTCTACCCCTTGGCTTAGAACCAGGACCGCAGTCTGTCCCCAGGGGCAATGCTGCGGGCAGGGATGAGAGCTCTTCTGGTGGGTGCTACGAAAACAGACCCCTCCATTTTCCAGCCTTATGGGGTCTAGGCTGGAGGCCGCAGCCTTTCTGATAGGCCAAGCTCTCTGCCTGAACATCCAGGTGAAGGCGAGGATGCCAGGTGGGACTTCCTTTTCCTTCTTTTCTGCCTCTCGCCTCCATTCTCACCTCCAGACCTCTGCCCCCGCTGTTTCCTCTGCCCGGATGCCCTTACCTGGCTCCTTACAAGACTGGCTTCAGGTCACATACTTTGAGAGACTTCCCTGACCCCCAAATCTGAGGGCGTCTCCCCCATTTTATATCTCTCATTACTGTTTACTTTCCTGTGGCTTCACCCCGTCCCCCCCCCCACCCCCCCCACACACACCTGGACTTAATCCATTTACTGTCTTGGTTCCTTGTTTAACATCCATCTTTCCTCCTGACTTTAAGTTCTAGAGAGTAAGGACGGTCTCATTCCCTGTGACATGCTCAGTACCTAGGACAGCGCCCTGTACAGCCAAGGTGCTCAGCTAGTGTCCATCAAACTCCAGGTGCTCGGCGTCAACCACACCAGCCTGATCTCCGGTCCCTGATGCTCCCTGGGACAGTGGCTTCCAAACCTGTGCTCACCATGGAATCTCCTGGAGAGTTTCAAACACTCCTGATACCTGGGCACTCCCAGGGGTCGTGATTTAATTAGCTTGGGATGTGTGACCTGGGAAAGATCCCCAGGTAATTCTAATTTGGAAGCGATCCTAGACCAGCAGCAGCATCATCACTAGGAGATTGTTAAAAATGCATATTCTTGATTCCAGACTTAAGCAATCAGAGTCTGCATTTTAACGGCACATCCGGGCGGCCACTGTGAATGGGCTGGGGCCCAGCAGGTGTGGGGTTCATGGAGGCTGGATCAGGATGTTCCCGCAGTCCCCCGCAGGCCTTCCAGCAGGCCCCGTGTTAGACCTCGTGTTGCTGCTTTTCATCTCTCCGACTCAGTGTGGTTGGGAGCCCAGCACTTTCTCCTAGTTACCAAGCTCTTCTATAGGCAAACCAGTGTCCTGCAGGGAGAAGAGGCTGGGGGTGGGGTGGGCGGCATTCTTTGAAAGCCCAGGGCCCCTGGTGGCACATGGTCAGCGTGAAAGCCCATGTGGAAGGAAGGGAGAGATCTGTCCGACGAAAGGTCTGTACCCAGAGCCGGGGGGTGGGGGTGGGGGTGGGGAGGGGCCAGAACAGGCAGGAGGGCCAGCCAGAGCGCTGCCTCCTGTCCAGATGGTGGAACTGGCCTTGCTGTTGCTGGGTGACTAGTGGCAGCCTGGTGCCCTCTGTGTTTTGTGTCTCTGACAATCAAGGGAGCTGTCCCAACCCCTGAAAAATAGTGGAGGCAGGACCAGAGTTATGACTTGGGGTGACAGGTTGATGTTGCCTTGAAACAAGGGAGGATCAGGAACCAAGGTCCTTCCTGGATGCTGGGGGTCTTGAGTGGGTTCAACACACACACACACACACACACACACACACACACACACACATACACACACACGAGTATGGGGGAGAATAAAGAGAAATTGCCTCTTTTTTAGAAGGTGACTAAGCATTCCTGGGCAGTGTATGCAATGGGCTGTGCCAGGCAGTAACCGCCATGCCCCCTCTTTGGATTTGTTGAACCTTTGACCTCCTGGGAGGAAGGTGGCCCAGGCCTGGGGGAGCATGGAGGGTGGGAGTGGGGATGTTCTTGGGGGAACCTTTCCAAAGGAGCCTGCCAGCTGCCAATGCTTTCTCCCCAGCGGGAGGAGAGCAGGGCTCAATTTTGCTGGTTTCTTTGTTTGCTACTCAAGGTGCCTGGGGCGGGCAACGGTTTGAGACTATTTGGCAATGCACGTTAAGCTTCTCCTTGGCAGCTCCCGGCAGGGGACTGTGCCCACCTGGGGTGTCTGTCCAACCCCCATGGAGCTATGGCTTCCCCTTCACTGGGGCAGCCTCTTCTATCCAGCGGTTCCAAAACCCAGGAGATATTTGTTGTATGTATTTTTAAACTAGTTTTTTTCAATAAAATGCTCATAGGATAGACAATTCCAAGAAACCATATAGACATGAAATGAGAAGTAAAAATGTTGCCTGTCCGGCTCCCTGCCCAATCCCCCGGGAACCATTATAAAATTGCAGCTGCCCTGGGCGGTTCCACCCCCGGACTTGGATTCAGTAGGTGAGGCCCGGGCCCCGCGTTGACAAAACCCTGTCAGCGAGTATCTGCTCAGCGAAGTCCCTGCCAGGGCTCTGTGTGCTTTCCAGCCCCAGCTCGCCGGGCACACCCAGAAAGAGCTCATTACCATGGCTGGGCACGTGGGCCCGGCTGGTGCAGCCAGAGGTGACTGGCCTGGGTACAGCGACCTCCATAGGCCTCACTGTCCACCCTGGCACTGAGGGGCCACTTGTCAGCTCCCTGGTGACCAGCCTCCGAACATGGGGTGGGAAGCAGGGCCTGTGCTCATTCAGCTGCCCCAGAGCTGCAGGCCCACGTGAGGGAGCATCTCTCCTGTCCTCCTCATCTTCCTCCCACCCTGCCTGGCACTCAGTCCTCAGAATTATTTCTCCAACCTCCCAGGATCGGGAGCCCTGCTAAGGCCCATGGAGGGTGGGACACTTCCTGTCCCAGACTCGGAGGCCTATTTTCTCTGCTGGTGCCCGTGCCTCTGGTCCCAATCCCGCCACCCACCTGCCTCTGGAGCCCATCTACCCCTGGAGCCCACCTCAGCAGGAACCTGTCCCTCTGCAGGCAGAGAGCCTGGAGCTGCCTGATTGTATCCCCGCAGCCCCCCACCACCTCTGCTCTGTCCCACCGCACCCGGCTCGCCCCGTAACCTATCCCCACCCACCCCTGCCTGCTGAGCTCTGGGCAGGGCTGGTCCCCACAACCCCAACATCCTGGAGGCCTGCCCCCAGGGAGGGAGGGGGAAGGTTCACAAGGCATGTTGTGGGCATTGGGGGGCGACCCTTCCAGGGCTGCAGACTTGCTTCCCTCAGACCTCTTACCATCGTGGGACTCTGCTGAGCTGGATGAGTGGATTTAGCAATGAATTAATTATTAGAATGGGAGGCAAGATGGTGTAGTCTTTGTGAACATGGATTGAGGTCCGAGTTCGGCCAATTTTTAGCTCTGGGATCTTCGGCCAGCTGGGCTCTAAGCCCTGGGAACGCGGTAGTGACTGACGGACAAGCTCTTGCTCTCATGGCACCTGTTTTCAGGAAGGGGGACCGAAAAGAGCATTAAACACAGACAGATAAGCTGGGCAATCTCAGGAAGCGACGAGTGTTGTGAAGAAAATAAGACAAGGTAATGGGGAAGTGATGGGGCAGGAGGGACACTCAGAAAAAAAGAAGGATGCAGCCACGAGAAGGCCCAGGATACAAGCATTCCAGGTAGAGGGCACAGCAAGTGCAAAGGCCCTGAGGTGGGAAGGGTTTGGTGTGCTTGAGGCTCAAAAGGAGACCAAGGTGGCTGGAACTGCAAGGCCAAGATGAGGCAGGACCCAGCAGGGTCTTGGCTATAGTGAGGAGTTTGGACTGTATTATAAGGACATCAGGAAGCTGTTGGGGAGTTTGAAGCCTGGCAATGACAGGATCTATTTTATATTTTAACTAGAGGCCTGGTGCACAAATTTGTGCAAGGGTGGGGTCCGGCTGGCCGGCCCCGATTGAGGCCAATTGGGGCCAGGACAGTGAGGGGGAGGGCCACAGGAGGTTGGCCAGACTGCTCCAGCCCTGATCGGGCCGGTTGGCCGGCCACAGTGCGTGTCATAGCAACCAGTTGTTCTGGGTTCTGGTCATTCCGGTCATTCCGGTCGCTTGGCTTTTATACATATAGATAAGAGCTCCTTGGCTGCTAAGGACTTTTGACAGATTAGGGTTAGAGGGTGTGTCCAGGAGTGGATTCTCAGAGCTCTGAGTTCTAATAAGGCTGGACCATCTAGCTGAGTGAGTTTGATAAAGTGACTGCTTCTTTATCACCGTGCCTCAGTTTCCCCATCTACATAACAGAATGAGGCCTCAGAGGTCAAGAGAAATACAATCCCTACATTTCTTGAGGTTTTCTGTATAGTATTAGAAAATGAGAACATTTTCAAACAGAGTTACAAAAATTATTGTGTAACATGTATGTTTCTATTCAAGTTAATGCTTTTAGCAAGTGGCAATGCAGTGTAACTGTCCTACACACAAGATGATTACAAGATTTATAAAAACAATTAGTCCCTAGCATTTCCTGCGGTGAGGTCTGGTAACCAGGCACAAGTTAGCTGCATGACCAACGGTTTCTTCTTCCATTCCTGGGCATAATTCTGTTCCTGGCTAAGCTCACATGGAGGAAACACCGGAATTCTGAATTTGCCCCTCCCCATGTGTAGCCTGAGCCAGAAGGCCCCCAGCCCCCTCTGATAGGCCCAACTTTGACCTGTCTGATTTCTGGCTCTGCTGGAGATGGAAGGATGAAGGGACAGGGTATGGAGCAGGGGGTGGGCCCAGCCTTCCTCGGTAGATGGGGATTCCCCTCCTTTGCCTTGGCATTGCCCTTCCCCCACCCTAAAGGGTAAAGAAGGAGGCTGGGAGGGAAGGGGAGTTAGGGCAATGCCCCTGGGTCCACCTCCCCTCCTTAGCCTGCAGCTGGTCGTTAGCTGGGGAGTTGAGCTTACACTCTATGAAAACTTGATTGGATTTAATTGCTTTGCTGATGGAAAAGCCACATTTCTGTATTGATCTTGGCTTCTGCAGCCCTTGGAGGATGGCCAGTGATTGTTCTCATGGAGGGGGCGGGGAAAGGGGGGCTGGCTGCCAGGGGGCAAGGGCTGGGACTCCATCCTCATCACCCTCCCTGGTGCTTACCTGCTCTGAAGAGGCCCTTGGGAGACCAGGGTTCTAGTCCTGGCTCCACCTCTGAGTGTCTTTGTGAGAACCCTCCCGTGGGGCTCGATTTTCCCCTTTGAGAATGGGGGGCAGGCAGAGGTGGCGGAGATTTGTCAGGGCGTGGAGAACAGTATAGCACAGGGTTTTAAAGCTCACTCCTAGAGTCTGGCTGCCCGGGTACAACACATGGCTCCACTGCTCACCACGGATGTGACTGGGCAGGTACTTACCTCTCTGAACCTCTGTTTCTTCCTCTTAAAAGGCAGAATAGTAATTACACCCCCTCAAAGGGTTGCAGTGAGGGCTTGACAAGCATATAAAGCTCTCTGCACAGTGCCTAGCACATGGTAAATATTCTACATTTGTAATTGGCTCCGTTTTATTGGTGTTGTTTTTTTTAATTAAGGCATTAACGACTGAATTGTGCGTAAAGCACCAGGAAAGGAATTAGAAAATACATTTCCAGTCCCAGTTCTGCCACTGATGAGGCCCCGGCTTCTCGGGCTGCAGTTTCCTCATCTGTAAAGTGGGGTCCTTGATGCCCACGGCCAGGGTGTTGGGAGGACTGAATGGGGTATGACTTGCCCAGCAGCCTCAGGGGGCAGATCCTGAACCAGGCCTCTCTCCCAGGTGAGTGGGGAGACCCAGGGGGTTTGGACTAAAGTCCTGGAAGGCAGGTGTGAGAGCTCTGGCTCAGCCACATACAAGTTCTACCCTGCATTTTTTGGGGAGCTCTCTGTGTCCTCTGCACAGGAGGTGTCTTCTGCAAATTAATACAGCTCTTCTGCAGAGAATACCCACTCCCTCAGAAAGGTTCACTCATTTCATCATTTGTTTTTTTATTCAGTTATTTTTTGAGCACCTACTATGTGCTAGGCATTTGGGTAGATGCCAGGGGTACAACAGAGACCAAGTCTCTGTACTCAAGGGTAGAGATATCAAGGAGAAAGAGTGAGATGTGCTATCCAGGGGCCCTGAGAGCACAGAGGAGGGGCCCACCAGCTTGGCAAGCAGGGCAGGCTGCCAGGAGAGGGCGACATTAAGGGCGGGTAGGAGTGAGTGATGGCCAGTGAAGGACCAGTGGGAGGTTGAGGGGGAGTGTTCCAAGCCAAGAGAATCGCTGTGTGAGGGCCCGAAAGTGAGAGGACTGAGCAGGGTGTGCCCAGAGGAGTGAACTTCAGCGGTTCGTCTGACGGGAGCATCGGGTGAGGGGCAGCGCTGGAGGAGGGGCAGCAGGAGCCTGGCCTGGCTTCATGGAGTTTGGGTCTAATACAGGGAGGGGAGCCTGAGGCCCACAGAAGGGAAGGGACTTCTGCATCATTGCAACCTGGCCTCTCTCTCACCGCCCGGATAACCCAGAGCTGTCTCTCACTGCCCGGATAACCCAGAGCCGTGCCTGAAAGGGCCGGGGGCTGCCCTGGGAGATGGTGATCATAAGAGGCTCCTCCTCACCTGAGACTCACCTGGGCGTCTCTCTATCCGTTTCAGACCATCAGAAGCTGGAGCGCGAAGCCCGCATCTGCCGCCTGCTGAAGCACCCCAACATCGGTAAGTTCTTGAGGGACAAGTGAGGGGTGCAGGGTGGGGCTTGGCCCTGCTCCCCTGCCCATCTTGGTGTGTGTGTTGTTTTTTTTTTTGCTGATGGGGTGAGGAGGCAGCTGCTCTCTTTTCTGGGGATGGCGGCAAGGGAGATGGGAAAAGGGGGTGTCTTTGATGGTTTCCACATTCTTCAGAGACCAGCTTGGTTGGGGGGAAGGTGAAGAAGGGGCCCTTCCTCGCAGCCCACGCTGCCGGCAGCCTCCTTCAGAAAAGCTGTTTCAGGAACACTCCCGAAGCCTTTCATCTCTCTCGAGAGACAAAAATAGGCCGAGCTTGGCCTTGGCCAGTGCAGCCCACTTCCCTAACCCACCCCCATGCTGAGTCAGCCTGGCACGGTGGTCCTGCCCACCTGCCTAGCCCTGTGGCTGGCCTGCCCCTTCAAGGCTAGCGGCAAGGTGGCCCCTGCCCAGGGATAGAATGCATGCAGGCTGTGTGGAGGGGCGGGGCCCAGGGCAGGCCGGACTCGCCTCCCCACCCCTCCACAGTCTGAGGGGCTGTGTCCCTGCCCATCAGGGTTCAGAGTCCTGAGGGAAAGAAGTACAGATTCTAGATATAGTTCTGCAGGAAATGGCTGTGTGACCTTGGGTAGGGCCACTACCCTCTCTGAGCCACTTTCTCCCACCTTCACAAGGAGAGTGCTGTCGGAACCACCTGAGCATTGTGTTAACAAGTAGGTTCTGGTTCGGCAGATCTGGGTCTGGGTGGGGCCCAAGACTTAGCATTTCTAACGTGCTCGGAGGCAATGCCAAAGCTGCTGGTTCACAGACCACACGCTGAGGAGCAAGGCCTCGGTGCCCTCTAAGGACTATTCCCACTCTGACAGCCACCACACCTTCTCCCTCCAGGGAAGCGTTTCTCTGTGACCAGGGCCCCAGGGGTTAACTCTTCTGCTGGAGAGAAGCATCTCCATCTGCTATTTATACCCAGAAAGCACCTCCCCTTCCCTGGGCCTGGGAAGGGGAGCAGGGCCGCTCAAACAGCAGCAGCCGTGGAGGCTCCAGCACCAGAACCAGAGAAGGGGCAGCTGGCGGCTGGTGGGAGGAACTCTGATTGGACTCTGGTCCCTGGTCTGCTCCTGGCCTCACTGTGTGGCGCCCTCCCATGCTCCAACTCCCCAACGGTATCTCGGAGGAGGTTGTGTGATCTCTGACTACAACATCCCACAGTTCCTATAAAGGAGGTGTGAGTGTGTGTGCGTACACGCGCGTATGTGTTTTGCTACTTCATTGCCGCTGTCTCAGGTCAATGCTGCCTCCTCTGATTTGCACCCCATCTCCCTCTCATTCCCAGCTATAACGGGGAGCAGTAAATATGGGTTCTGGGGCTGACAGACTGTAGCTCTCTGTATCATTACCACCTGCAGACCCCAGAAGGCCACCCCAAGGAGCAGGGGACACCCTGAGGGTTTAGCAGGTCATTTGGGATGCCAGGCACTGTGTTGAGTACCTTGCCAGCTCCCTTGCTGTTAGGAGAGGAGGCTCAGAGAGGTTATGGAATTCACCTGAAGTTACACAGCTGTAAGAGGTGTTGCTGGGAGGTGAACCCAGCAAGTCTGACTCCAGGGCCCTACTCAATCATCCTATTTAGCGTCCCAAGTGGACCGCAGGGGTGTGCTGTCAAGGGGGGCGTGTGGTTAGGGGGAAAAGTACTTCCCTTCAACTTCTAAGAGAAAAATGATAACTGTTAGAACTATGACAGGAATGTCAGAGATCCGTGAGTTCAGCCACATAAATGAAAACTAGGTTACAGAATGTTTGTTCTATGACAATGTTTTAAAAATTCAAAAAAGTGACAGCATAATTCACTGGGCACAGACATGCTGATATCTGCACCGGGGGTGGGATTGTCATGTAGCCCGTGGTCCTTGGATTCCGCTGTCCTCCTGGGCCCTGGGCTGAGCTTATCCACAGGGAGGCCTCTACCGATGGGAGGGGAGGTGGAGGGGAGGTTTTGTATGTGAGAACAGCAGTGAGGGAAGAGGCCCTGTCTGCTGGGCTCCTAGTGGTGTCGGCCACCCCCCAGGGACCGAAGCTGACTCCAGAGTTCTCCCTGGATCGGGCTGGAGTCCAGCCCCCATAGCTCGCCTGGCTGCTCAGAGGGGCAGCCTTTTACAATCAGCACAAAGGCACCGTCTGAGCTGAAGTCAGCTCTTCAGAAACAACACCCCCACCCAGTTCTGTCTGTTCCCTTGAACCCCGAGGACCCTCTCTCAAGGGGCTGAGGCTCCTAGTGAGAGGGTGGACCTGGAACCCCATCTCTTTGAAGCTCCCCGCAAATGGCTGCTGGGGCAGACCCCAGAAGGCCTTTCTGAGATGGTTCTGGCTGCAACTTGGCTTCTTAGAGCTTCTCACGCTCAGGAAAGGGAAGTCAAAACCTCTCCCACCTGCTGGAGCAGAGGAGGTAGGAAGGAGTCTATCACCGAGAGTCTACCCAGTGGTTCTCAACCTTGGCTGCACATTAGAGTCACCTGGGAATCTTTTTAAAATCCTGATTTCTGGGCCTCAGGTGATTCTGGTCTACCCAGAGGAAGGTGAGAGAAAAAAGGGTCTTTTTTTTTGGTTGTTAATCCTCACCTGAGGATATTTTTTCCATTGATTTTTAGAGAGAGTGGAGAGGAGGGGGGGAGGGAGGAAGGGGGAGAGAGAGAGAAAGAGAAACATGGATGTGAGAGAGGCACATCAATTGGTTGTCTCTCGCCTTGACGGGGCCAGGGATGGAACCCGCAACTTAGGTACATGCCCTTGACTGGGAATCGAACCGGAAACCCTTTGGTGTGCGAGCTGACACTCTAACCACTGAGCACACTGGCCAGGGTGAAAAGGGTCTTTTCCCATCCTTGGCCTTGATACACTAACAATGCAAGTTTATTGTCCATAAGTGAGAAGACAAATAATTTTAAAAGTATCTCCTATAACCTCAGCATCTAGGGCTAAGACTGTATGATCATGCTTCCATATGATAGCTAATGCCTGTACCTCTCAAGGACACCTATACATCTCTCCTTGGGTCGGGTTTCCTTGAAGCAGAGCCCGAGGCAGGGATTTAGGTACTTGTACTCCCAGCGGAGACCTGTAAGGGATGGGGATGAGGGAGCAGGAAGGAGAAGGGGAAGGAATGGCCTGAGGTCAAGTCTAACTGACTTAATCTCAGGTGAGGGGTGCAGTGGGGAGGCCTCTGGAGCATAAGTTCCATCTTGGAGTTGTCCCTCCTTAAGGCAAGGAGACTGGACCTTGGCAGCGACCTTGCCTCCTCTCGGTCCTCAGTCATTGGCTGGAAGCTGCAGGTCACCTGCTGGGCAAGGTGGCTCCCTCAGCAGTGGGCAGGTCTCCAGAAAGGAAAGGCAGCTGTGTGCTGTGAGCAGGCCGCTTTCCCAGCAGCGGCAGGTGGCTGCACCGTCTTACCGAGGGGGGCCGGGCAGAGCCCCAGTGCAGGGTTGCTACAGTCTGCACACAAAAAATGCAGAATGCTTAGTTCAAAACACATCTACCTTCTAAAAATGAAGCCTGCGTTTGCTTTGACATACATTCAAAAATTAAAATCAGTGAATGGATGGAAGAAGGGATATAAATGTAGTTAGAAAGTATATGGAAACATTAATGGTAGAACCCAGATGGTGGGCACATGGGTGTCCACTTGACTATATATTTAAAATTTTTATAATAAAATGTTGATTAAAAAATCAAAACAGGATTATATTATATGTCCTCAGAGGCAACCTGCTTTTTAGCTTTGCTTTGAAATAGATTTAAAACATCTTTCAGGCATTATTTATAAACATATATCATCATTTAAGAATTAAACATTTTTTAAAAAATAGTTTCTCTTTTTTAAAAAAAATACATATTTTTTTATTGATTTCTTACAGAGAGGAAGGGAGAGGGATAGAGAGTTAGAAACATCAATCAGCTGCCTCCTGCACACCCCCTACTGGGGATGTGCCCGCAACCAAGGTACATGCCCTTGACCGGAATCGAACCTGGGACCCTTCAGTCCCCAGGCCGACGCTCTATCCAGTGAGCCAAACCAGCCAGGGCCATTTTTAAAATTTAATCTTGTGTCCCTTTCCTCCTCCTCCATCTCTGGTCCCCATCTCCCCTTTCCCCGGAGTAGGCACCCAGTCTGGGGTATTTGATGCCTGTTTCTCCAAACTTTTATGTGCAGATATGAGAGCCATAAAGAATGTAGGGGATTCAGTATTGAGTCAGAAATCCATGCACGTGGCAAAAATTCCAAAGGCATTAGGGTTCACAGTGAATAGTAAGTCTCACCTATCCATGACCCTGGTTCCTCCAATTCCCCTCCCCAAGGCACCCCATGCCCACATCTCCATCTCCTCCAGGGAGACTTATGACATATACAAGCTTAAATGCATCCTTGAGAAAAGGACAACGCACACAGTTTTGCATTTTGCTTTTCACCAAACATAATTGAGAGCTGATTCCGAACGAGTGAATAGACAGCCGCCGCGTGATCCTCACAGCTGTGTAACTTCCCGTCGTGCGGTACATCCTAATCCTCCGGCCCGCACCCGCTCGGCGCACATTTCTAGGTTGTGGCACAGGGGAGGGTGTGAACCTGTCCGGGGAGAGCCTGCGCTTGGCTGGCAGGGTGCAGGCCCCCGAGTCAGCCCCAGGCCTCGGGCCCCTTGTTTCAGAAGCTCAGGGGTTATTTTCGGGAGCTCTGGGCTCCTGGGAGCCTGGCTCTGTTCTTGGTCAATGAGGTATGAAGGGAGGACAGTTTTTCAGCATGCCAGAACTCGGGGACTGCTGTCACTGCCGCCTCCACATACTCTATTATCTGCTCAGACCTCGAAGCAGATTGGGGATATTCACTTGGCCAGGGCCAGCGCTGAGTGAGCACCGACTGTATGCGTCCAAGTCCAAGAGTCTCATTCTCATTGTCCAGGCAAGGAACGAGAGGCTCAGAAAGGTGTAGCAACTTGCCCAAAGGCACACGGCCAGCAAGTGGCAGAGACTGGAGCTACAGGATCATTCCATGATGCTTGTCTGCCCAGAAAGGAAACGGAGAGGTGGGGCGTGGAGGAAACCAAACTTTGACCCAAAAAAAGGGGTCTGGCCCAGCCAGTGTGGCTCAGCAGTTGGTGTGTCGACCTATGAACCAGGAGGTCACGATTCGATTCCCAGTCAGGGTACATGCAGGGTTGTGGGCTTGATCCTCTGTTTGGGGTGTGCAGGAGGCAGCCAATCACTCATTATTGATGTTTCTATATCCTTCTCCCTCTCCCTTCCTCTCCGAAATCAATCAACATATATTATATTAAAAAAAAGAGGGGGGGATCTGTTGTCCTTAAGCCCAGGCCCTCTTGGCAGTGCCTGAAGTAAGGGAGCCCCTGTTCACCTGCATTTGTCAAAGCACCTCGTACCTCATTGTGCTCAGTCTCTGAGAAAAAGCAGTGTTGCTGCTGGAGGGATGAGGGAGGGCAGGGGTAGGGAGCAGTGTGCTCTCCTGTAACCGGCTGCCTTGGTTCCTCCCGCAGTCCGGCTCCACGACAGCATCTCCGAGGAGGGGCACCATTACCTGATCTTCGACCTGTGAGTTTGGGCCCATCCTGGGATGTACAGGGCACATCAGGGCGGCCCGAGCAGGGAGGACTTCTCTGGGTCTCAAATGCCCCCAGACTGGGCTGAACTCCCTCTCCTGATAGACTTTCTTAGAAGTGGCTGCAAGTTGGTGATCCTGAAACACCAGCACATTAGCTTTGTCTCTATTTGTGGCTACCGGCGATAGAAAGTTCCCTTTTGGAATAATGTTAAAGTTTTGAATGCCAGTCGACCGAGTGAAAAACCATAATTAAATGAGAGGCCTGGTGGTTCCCGGGCTGGCAGCGGCTCTGTGATGACACTGGTCTCATTTGTAAAAAACCCCAACAGCCCTTGAGATGTTGATAATGGGGGAGACTGCATGTGGCAGGGACAGCGGTGTGTGGGAAACCTCTGTGCCTTCCTCTCAGCTTTGCTGGGAACCTAACTCTACTCTAAAAATAAAGTCTATTGAACAACAAAACCAAGACCCGGCCCTTGGGCTTCTAGGAACCTAATGAATCCTAGTGATGTGTTCTGAGGGCCCTACCCTAGCTCCCACCTGGGCTTGGTCGGGGAAGAGCCAGGAGTGGGAGGGAGGGAAGTTAGTGGAAGGGTGGGCTGGAAGCCAGGAAGGGGGTTGCAGCAGGGGACATCCCTGTGAGTCCCTCCCTTTGGGGCTGAGGCTCTGAAGCCCCCAGGCCCCACCCTTAGCTCCCTGGAGACTCTTCCAGCAGCGGCGGCACCTGGGGCCTCTGTGGGAGGGTGACGGTGCCTGTGTCCCCAGGGTCACCGGCGGGGAGCTGTTCGAGGACATCGTGGCCCGGGAATATTACAGCGAGGCTGATGCCAGGTGAGTTCCCCATGTGGCCTGGCAGGCATCTCGCCTGCCAGCTTCCCAGGGGGGGCCCCGTCTTCACCTGGTGACGCCTGCCTTTCTCTCCCCAGTCACTGTATCCAGCAGATCCTGGAGGCCGTGCTGCACTGCCACCAGATGGGGGTGGTGCACCGGGACCTGAAGGTGAGCCACCAGGGACCGCTCCTCCGCCCACTGTCCTTCCCTCCACCTGCAGAGCCACCGGTGGTGTCAGATTCCCTTTTATTTCCCCTTGTTGGGCTGGAGGGAGAATATTCCCCTCACTGTTCAGATAAGGAAACTGGGCTTAGGGAGGTGGAGCATCTGGGCTCGGGACCCAGGCCTCCCGGCTCCCAGCCCCGCGTGCTTTGTGCCAAGCAGGTGAGACACGGTTAGAATGCCAAGCGTGGCGATGGCCTGGTCCAAATCCCAGCTGGGCCACTTTCTAGCTTCACAGTGTCAGCCTCTTTATAGTGGGTGTTGCCATAGCAACCTCTGCACAGGTTGGCGAGAATGTCAAAGGAGACAGCACAGTGCCTGGTACACAGATGCGGTTACTCTTTCCAGGTCTCTGGCAGCTGGGGGCTGGGGGGGGGGGGGACGGATGAAAACAGGTCTTAAGGCCCTCTGGCCCTCTCTCTTTTCCCACCTGAAGAAGGAGATGGGCAGGACAAGCAGATGCGGAGTCCTGGGGTGGCATCAGCGCACGGTCTTGCTGGGTCAGCACAGACTTCACAGCTCTCCTCTGCTGGGCCTCATGGCCTCAGCAGCTGGTAGCTCATAACATCACTCCTTTCGTGCAGAGCAGGAAACTAGGCCTAAAGAGTCCCAGGGCTTTGCCTGAGAACATGCAGTTCAGTCGCGTCTGAGCTAAGACTGGAACCCTGGCCTCAGATCCCAGGTCCTGGGTGGTCTGAGGCCAAAAACCACTCAATCCAGCTCCTGCTTCTGCAGTAGCCCCTTCTAGGCGACCATCAAACTTCTGGATATCCATCAAACTTCTGCTTTTTGGTCTTCAGTGACTACAAAGTCACTTCTTACAGGGTAGCCCCTGTACCGTTGGGAAATGCTCCTTCATTCTTCCCTGCTATGGGGGTTTCCCCAGTTCTACCCTCTGGGGCCACACAGATCAAGCCTCCAGCTCAGAGCAGCCCTGGAGGCACTTGGGTGGCGTTATGGCAGCTCCTGAGTCACTGCAGGCTGTTCTCCCACTCGGGATAGGACTTCTAGGCCCTTCTCACCCTGGGCACCCTCTAGTCAGGCCTGGTTCCTCTTTGGGCTGAAATGCTCTGAGCAGAACCCCTGCCCACCTCTGACTGCCATGAGTAGTCCATGGCTCCTCACCTGAACGCAGGTGAGCTCCCTGCGGCTCAGTCTAGACTCATAGGCAGGAAGGTCTCTGGCCAGACGGCCGGGTGGCTCTCCCCAAAGGCCTGTTCCCATTATAGCTACAGCCCCTGCACGGGAGGAGGGGGAGGAGAGGCACAAATTTAGGCCACTCTGGATGGAATAATTAGTGGCACATTCATCAAACCAGGGCAGGACGGCTACTGAGACCCAGGACATGTTGGGAACACAGTCCCCAGAGGACAAAAGGGGCCGTAATGAGCTATATTTGTGGCCCATCTAGCTGTGGGCAGTGAAAGGTCAGCTGTGGGACCCTCTTGGAAACCCAAGTGGAGAAGGGGTCAGAGGAAGCCAGCTGTCCCCAGAGACTTGGAGCCCCAGCCCCTCCCCATGCAGGAAATGAGGACTGATGCTTCTCAGGCACTTGCTATTGCCACTGTGAAGTACTTTACGTGGCTGATTGAAATTAATTCGTCTGCCACCCAGTGATAGACACTATCCCCATGTTCTGGGAGGTAACTAAAGCGTAGAGAAGTGAAATAATTTATCCAAATTCCACAGCTGGGATCAGAAGCTAGGGCTATCTAACTGGAAAGTCCACGCTCTTAACTCCTCTCCGTCCTAACTAGTGCGATTCCCTTTCTTCTAGACCCAGCAGGAGACAGCAGCCTCAACACCCCAGAGGCCAGGAGGCCTGTCTGAGGCCCCCATGACCTCCGTTCCCCATCCCTGCCTCTCAGCTTAGAGTGGTTAAGAGCCTGGCTTGGGAGCCAGACTGTGCCGTGATTCTGGATCTGTCTCTTATCAGCTCTGTGACCTTTGTCAAGTCACTTTACCTCTCTGAGCCTCAGTTTCCTTCTCTTTCCACGACAAATGCTTACTAAGTACCTGATATGTGCGGGCCTCTGTCTTAGGTGCTGGCGATGCTGTGGTGGACAAAACAGATAATTCACATACTACAGGGCGACAGATAATGTACAAGCACATAGACAGATGGGGAAAAACAGTACAAATCACAATGAGATCTATGAAGGTAACAAGAAGCTAAGATAGAAGATACCTGGGGGCTCTTCATAGAGTAGTCATGGAGGGCTTCCTGGAAGGGGTGACATGAGGGTGATAGCCAGATGAAGAGAAGAGGCCAGCCCTGTGAAGCTCAGAGGGAGAACAAATTAGGCAGGCGGAACAGGAAGTGCAAAGGCCCTGAGCTGACAACTAGCATGACTATTTCAGGGCTATAAGAATAGGAATAATTATGCCTATCCCAAAGAGTTGTTGAGATGACAAATGAGGTTATGTGTGCAAAGCCCTTCACCTAGTGGCTGGCACATTGTAGGAACACAGTAGATGTTGCTTCTTTTTTCTTATTGTGGTGGTGGCTGTCCCCTCCCCCCACCTCCCACCCTCCCCTCAGCCCCAGGTCCAGACCCTGAGGGGAGGGTAAAGGAGGGGATAGATGGCTGGTGGAGGAAGGTTCTTACTGTTGCAGAAGACTTGCAGTGGGGTAGTCCTTTCTCTGGGGACTAAACTCAGGGTCCTGGAGTTGGAGCTGGAGGTGGGGGCAGCGTGCCTCTGGATTATTCAGCTGCTCCATCTGTAAGCCTAGGCCCCTGGAGATGAGGTCCTGAACCTGCTCACTGTCCTCTGGCCCTTTCTTCCCCACCTTTCCCTCTTCTCTCTGGTCCTGGGAAGCCGGAGAATCTGCTGCTGGCCTCCAAGCTCAAGGGCGCTGCGGTGAAACTGGCAGACTTTGGCCTGGCCATAGAGGTGGAGGGGGAGCAGCAGGCATGGTTCGGTGAGTGGGGGCAGGGGGTGTTGGGGGTCAGCCTTGTGTTGATATGTTGGCCTTTAGGAACCTCTGCCTGAACAAGGGCAGGTTGTAGAAGGTGTTGGACCAGCCAGGACTCAGGTAGCAGAGTTAGAGGTCCCTCCCCACCCAGCCTCTGGGTCAGTGGGTAGGGCTAGGCGCAGGGACATGGTTACCAATCGAACAGAACATAGCTTCTTCACATGCATAAATACCTACACTGTTGGCTAGCGGCTTCTAGGGGTTTCCCCCACATCCTGAGTGCTGGAGATTATTATCCTGACATCACAGATGAGGAACAAAGGCTACGAAACCTGGAAAAGGTCAAAGGAGATTACAAGGGGCAGAGCAAGGTTTTAAGCTCAGATGATCCAGCATGCTCTGAGAATAGGGCATAACTGAGTCTTTCCTGCTATCCGGGGACCCTTTTTAGTGGGCAATATTGCCCAGTGGTTAAGAGCCAGAGCTCCGGGTTCCAGTTCCGCTTCTGCTACATATGGGGGGTGTGATTGGGCCTCCTTGCACCTCTCCTAGCCTGTTTTCTCATCTGGAAAATGGGGACAATAATAGAATGTTCCTCAGGGTTGGGTGAGGGTTAAGTGTGATCAGGCATAGAAAGTGCTCAGCCCTGCTTAGCACACATACTCAATAAACAGGAACCATTCTTATGATTACTTGTTAAAGTACTTGGGGTGTCCATTATTTCAACTGATCCTCCCAACAGTGCTGGAAGGTATTTAAAATAGGAATCCCTAAGCCCTCATTTGACAAACGAGGAAAATGAAGCCTAGAAAAGAGACCTACCCAAGGGATTGAGGGTAAAGGCCGAGTGAGGGACAGCCTCCTGCCATCCCAGGACCAGCTCCTCAAAGGGGAGAAGTGGGCAAGGGGTCCTTCAGCTCAGCGTGGGGCCAACTGGCAAGGACATTGATTGGTAGTGGCTGCTGGGAGGATGTGCTAGAAGTTCATGGAGCTGAGTCAGGACCCCATGGGAAGGGCTCTGGGGTTGATCAGTGACTTCTGCCCTAGGCTCTGGAGTGGGGGCGGTGCCCAGTGTCCTTTATACTTGTCCCCCCTGGTCTAGAGGCGTTGCTGGCCCCATCTGAGGGCAGGAGGAGCTGTTGCCATCTCCAGGGCAGTCCTCACCCTCCTCCAGCAGGACCTTGCATTGGTTTACTTATGTGCCACCTCTGTGTGTGTCTGCCTGTCTGTGTCTGGGGAGCAGGGTTTGCTGGGACACCTGGATACCTCTCTCCAGAAGTGCTGCGGAAGGACCCGTACGGGAAGCCCGTGGACCTGTGGGCCTGCGGTGAGTCCTTCCAAAGGCCCCTCTGTCCCCCTGGCCAGCGGCATCTCTGGTGCCCTCTCTCCTCTTTCCCATCACTCTCCTCCCCATTGCTTCCCCTCACAAGGGGCTGAAGCTCCTCCTGGCGCTCTCCCCAGGAGTGATCCTGTACATCCTGCTCGTGGGCTACCCCCCGTTCTGGGATGAGGACCAGCACCGCTTGTACCAGCAGATCAAAGCTGGCGCCTATGATGTGAGTGTCACTCTTCTCTCCAGCCTCCCTGCCATCCCCGGAGCCCCTTCCAGTGGGAGCCAATGGCCAGCGAGGTCAGGACCCGAGGATGCCCCCCTCCTGCCCTCCCAGTCCATCTAGGTCTCCTTGTCACTCTCTAGCTGTGGGCCGGGGGGTGAATGGTAGGCGGAGCTTGAGGGCTGACTGAGGCCAGGCGATGAGCTGCCTGTGTCTAACGACCGGGGGCCTCTAAGGGATGGGGTCTAGCCCATGGGGCTTCGGAAGGCAGAAGCAGCAGCAAAGTGAGGCGAGAGGTTGGGGGGTGGGGGTGGGAGCAGGGGCAGGCCCTAGATCCAAGTTCTCTTTCTCTCTCTAGGTATAGATTTATAGAGATAGATAGATAGATGGATAGATCACAAATAATGATAGCTGACACCTATATAGCACTCTTCTAATGCTTTCTATATATTATTATAGTTAGTCCTCACACCAATCTATGGTATAGGCACTGAGAGGTTCAATAACTGCCCAGATCCTATAGCTAAGAAATGGTGGAACTGGGATTTGAACTCAGGCAGTCCGGCTCTCGTGTCTAAGCTTCTAACTACAAACTATACTGCTTTCTTACATGGCTGATTTCTATCAAGCTATGTGCCCTGTGTTTTATACCATACTTAATCCTCACAGCACCTCTAGGTCACATGACTCGCCCAGGGTCACTCAGCCCAGGAAGCAGACTTGAACCCAGCCTTGTGATCCTGAAGTCTGGGCTATACCCACAGGCCTGCTGCTTTCCAGATAAGGCACAACCTCAGAACAGCAGAGGGAGGCCCCCTTTTCCTATGCCCATAGTTCTGATTTTTCCTGGGTGAGAGCACCCTGCCCCAACTCCTCCTGGTTATGGATGCCCAAGTGGATGGGCAGTAGGACCCCTGCCTGCTCCCCTGCCAGTCAGGGGCTGGGGGATCGCAGGGGTGGCCTGGGGTAGGCTGGGCAAACCTGGCCCCTCTGCCCCTTTCAGTTCCCATCACCAGAATGGGACACCGTCACCCCAGAAGCCAAGGATCTCATCAATAAGATGTTGACCATCAACCCGTCCAAACGCATCACGGCCGCCGAGGCCCTCAAGCACCCCTGGATCTCGGTGAGCCTTCCTCAGCAAGACCCTTCCCAGGACCCCGCCAGACCTCAGGGTTAAGGCCTTCACGGAGTCCTGTCCCTGGGGTGAGGGGCTTTATCCAAGAGACACTGACCCTGCTGTGGTTCTCAGGGGAAAGTGCATCAGGACGGGGGTGCTATTGGCATTGAATGTCTAGTGCACCAAACGCTACAACAGAATGTTTACAACATCCCCTAGAACAAAGAATTATTCCCCCAAGATGCCAACCACACCCATAAGACACCCTGCTGAGGGGCCCTTGGGTAGGCCTGCCTTCTACTCACAGACCTCTTCCCTACTCCCTCCAGCACCGGTCCACCGTGGCCTCCTGCATGCACAGACAGGAGACCGTGGACTGCCTGAAGAAGTTCAACGCCAGGAGAAAACTGAAGGTAACAGGTCCTCACCCTCCATGCCCCCAGACATGGGAGTAGCGTGGCCTGGGCCTCCACCGTGTCCAGGAGACCACTCACTGTTCTTTCCTTCTCTGAGTCAACAAACATTTATTGAACACCTGCTGTCTGGGCAGGGCGGTGAGCAATGGAGACAGACACATAACCAGGACATGATGGGGCCGTGGTGAGTGCTGTGCTTGCACGCCCCGAGGCTGTGGGTGTACACAGCAGGGCCATGAGCCAGGTCTAGAAGGACCCAGGAAGCCTGCCTGGGCAAGTAGCATATACGCTGAGGCCCCAAAGGAGAAGCAGGCATTAAGCCACGATGGGGGTGAGGCCCCAGCTGCCAACCACTGGTGAGGAATGGCCCAGAGACTTGGGTAGGGGTCGTGACCCCAAGGAAATTACATGGAGACCCAGGTGGGCCCTGAGCTGCAGCCTCTCAGCAGGTCCTGTGTGTTCTCGGGGCCATGACAACTCCTGGCCTAGACCTTGCCAGGGTCCCCATGAGCAGGTAGGAAGAGCGACCGAAGGGTCCCCATCTGGTCGGAGGAGAGAAGCCATCAGCATGCTGAGTGACAGATACTGGGCCCCTGTTCATTGGGAACCTTCTCACCAATTGCTCCCAAGCTTGGCACGGTGGCTCAGGATGGGGACCTGGGCCAAGGGTGGCGGCCAGCATGATGCCAGGAAAACTGAGTATCACCCCCAGCCCCTAGTGGGAGCTGTCACAGAAGAAGTCTCCAAGTGTCAGAATCAGGGATTCTTAAAACCAGGGGCTGTCGGACTCAGAGAGTGTCCAAGTCAGAGAGCATCAGATTAGAAGGGCCACTGCCCCCCAGCCCCCTTGCTGACAGAAAGGGCTTTTCTGCATTAACCTTCCAGGGTTTCAAGCCCAGGGATGTACTAGTACTAGAGTGGGTGCTGAGTGCCCCGGGCGGAGGGTGGACACGGGAGGGGCCCTGGGGTGCAGGGTCTACTGTCCTTGCCCAAGCAGGACACCTCCATGGCCTTTAGCAGCCCCCTGACAGGTGTCCCCGGGCCCATCCACCAGCTCTGGCCAGGCCGGTGGGACCTATTAATATCTGCTTCTAGAATGGCCCTGTCCCTGGAGCGGTGCCAGCTAAGGTTGAGTTCACCCTGGTTTCTCCAGGGAGGTGGGGGTTGGTCCCTGGGCTGTGGAATGGGGGACTAATGAGGGGCAGCGGCTTTGGCTTTGTGTATGAGTGGAGCACCTGTCTCTCCTTCCCCACTCATCACCCATTTCTCTGTCTCTCCTCTCCCCACTCACCTCTGGCTTCTCTCCCCACCGCACCCTCTCCTCTCACCTGTGCAGGGAGCCATCCTCACCACGATGCTGGCCACCAGGAACTTCTCTGGTAGGTGGTAGGACCTCAAAGCCCCAAACACATCCTGTAGGAGTGGGGACATTGCCATGTCGGATACCTGGGTACCCTCAGGCCCGGGGGCCTGGGAGAGCGGGGGCTGCAGAGGACCCCGTGACTGGGGGCTTTGCTCACGTGATGCAAACCTGCACCCAGAAATGGAGAAGGGTCAGAGGTTGGCAAGCGACGGGCCCACGAGGAAGGGAAGGGCCAGAGGTTCAGTCTGTGTCCCCTGCCTCACAGGAGGGCTGGGTTCTCAGGCTGGGCCAGCCAGAGGGAAGGCCTCTCAAATGTGCGTCCAGGTCCGGGTGGGACTGAGCAGCATTCCTGTTCCCTGTGGTTACAGAGCCCTGGGCTGAGCAGTCTCCATGGCCTTTACGACAAGGCAGTGGGGGCCATCGCCATCCCTGCTTCCTGAAGGAGGAAACGGAAGCTCAGGGGGGTGGACGTGGGCGGCCCAGGTGGCATCACTAGGGGGAGGCAGAGCCTGTGATCAGCACAGGTTTGACCAACCTCAGTGCAAGTGCCCGTAGCCAGGGCAGGAGCCTTCGGCCTTGGCCAGAGCCAGGCTGGTTAGGGCAGGGAGCGCCCGCTGACCTGTGGCATGTGGCCCCCGAAGAGAGAAGGGGAAGGGATCAGTGTCAGGGTTTAACAAGAAGCTCCCCCTGGCACACTGGAGAGTTCTAGGACCAGCGCTGCCAGAGGCTTCTCTCTGGGAGCCCGGAGGCTGAGTGGGCAGCTGAGCAGATATGGCAAAGCTCACCCGAGGGGCCCTCTGCCTGGGGCTGGAGCCAGCCTGAGAAGGTTGCTGTGGTCACGTGGCTGGCTCCGCAGCAAGGGGTCGACTCTGGGCGGCTACAGCCCAGGCCTCGAGAGAGGGTCCCCCTGCTCATTTCACGAGCTGGGAGAATGAGACCCAGCGTGGGAAAACCTGGGACTTCGATCTGAGCTTCTGCCACTGCCTGAACTGCCTCCCCATTCTCTCCCCAGACAAGGATCCTGCAGATCCTCAAACTGAAACATGAGCCACCCAGACAGAGTCTTTTTTTAACAACTGAAGTGCCCCTAGAGAACTCTAATCCAGAACTTAAAGATGGTGCCCATGGGGTTACTTCCAATCTCTAGATGTGCTTTGGGGTGGGGTGGGGGGGGGCAGGGGTGTTTAAAAATTTTTTGCAAAGTATTCCCAGCACTTAAACATCAGGAGATTTCCCAGAAAAGCCCAGATCTCTGTCTTCTCTTGAAAATCAGAATATGTGGCCTCACAGACCCCCCCCCCCAGTCTTGCCATAGTGGCTGGAGCTGAGAGGGCCCCCCGGAGGCTGGAGGGGCAAGCACTCCAGCCCCGCTGAGCAGCCTGGTTCAGCCCACAAGCCTGTGGGGCAGGGACAGCCATTCCTTTTGGCTTTGGATCCAGCGGTACCCACTTGCTTACAAGAGGGTAAATTTTGGACGAGAGCCAGGTAGGGTCATTGGAAATGTGAGGGTGATTGGGAAGCTGGACAGACCAGGAGCCCCATCCTTCAAAGCCTCTGGGGCTGCAACGTCTTGTACGCCCCTTGTGGCCGGCTCACTCTGCAGGCCACCAGGAGACGCACAGGTGGCACCATTTATTGAGCATCTACTGCACAGAGGTCAAGCGCAGTGCTAAGTAAGCACTTTATAGACACCCCATCTCATTCAACATAAAGCGTTCGCTTGAGGTCTGAGCAGCCGGTTGTCAAGTTGGGCAAGGCTGGGCACTCGTGCCACTTCCTGGCTGATGCCCTCCCTCTCCATGGGCTCTGGCCAGGAGGCGAGGGGGAGGGAAAGGGAAGTGACAGAGGTGGAGCCTCCCTGAGACCTGTTGCTCTGCTTTTCCTGGCTACCGGGGGCAGGGCCACCCCCAGCCTGGAGCTCTGGAGTTTGAGGGTGGGGAGGCCTCCGCCAGGATGGGTGCTCTGGCAGCGGTGGGCCCCACAAGGGGGCATCTGCTTCTTGTCACTGGCAAAACACGGCTCGCAGCTGTCCAGCGTGAGTGGGCAGGGCTGACACATGACCTCTGCAGCAGCATGGGGCTAAAATTAGAGCGGGCTGGGTTGGGGAGGGAGCATCCTGCCCCGGCCGGGCAGCCGGGCCTCCGGGTTGGCCACACCAGCACGGGTGGTGACCGGGACCCAGAGGGAATCCCCGGGCTCAAACAGTAACTCACAGTCCTGGGACGCACTGGATACCTTCCTCACCCTCAACCCATGGGGCTGGGGGGTCACACTTGCGATCGCTGAGAACTGTGGGAGCCCAGGCCCACCTAGGGGGCCACTGGCAGTCCCAGGCTCCAGAGGAGGGAGGAGAAGCAGGAGGAGGTCTCCCAGATCGCTGAGCCGGCTCCCTGCCCTCCGGCTGCCCGTGGATGCTGCTCTTCCTTGCCCTCTGGGCCCTGGTGCCCTGCCTGGTGTTGGTAACCCTCTACTTTCTCTCCTCCATAGGAGGGAAGAGCGGAGGAAACAAGAAGAACGATGGTGTGAAGGTAAGCCCCCTGGGAGCCACCAGGGCCTGCTCTGGCGGCGTTTCCTTCAAGAAGGCCCGGCTTTCAGGCCTGGCGAAGACCCAGGCCCTGCTGGTGGTGTTCTGGGCAGATGCGGTCTCTCCTGCAGCCAGGCCATCCCCAGACCCAGAGACCTGGTCTTCGGTGCCCACCTCTCACCAGGATCAGGGGAGGAAGCGGGGGAGGGGGAGGGTTGAAAGCTGGTGGGAGACGCAGCTGGCCTGGGGTTGGAGTGGGCACAAGGAAAGGGGCAGGTCAGGAGGAGGTTTCTGGGGTTCTCTGGGGCTGGAGGACTGGTGAGCAGGAGGTACCAGGAAGGGATAGAGATGACCATGAGGAGTAACTTCCCTTTTCCCGAGTGTGGGCTGGCAGGAATGGATCCCTGACCCAATACACCCCAGTCCAAGAGGATGGACAGCAATTTCTCTCCACTTTGGGGTCCAGAGGTGCCCTCTCCCCCTGAAGACCTGCGGTTCAATGCTAAGCATCCCCGCCTCCCCCTACCCAGGCCTGCCCTCTGTCCTCCCTCCCAGTCCTGAAGCCCGAGCTACTTCCACACCCCCCTGACCCCGCTCCCCTCCTCTCTCTTCTCCCTCTGCTCTCTGGGGCCTGGTCCCACTCTCTGCAGCCCCCTTCTCCCTGCCACTGGCTCGCCTTGTGGGTTCTCTTTCTTGAGACCCTGCCTTTCTCTGGGCTCAGAGCCCTGACTGGCCAGGGCCCCAGGGCTGGGCTGTGCCCAGGACACTGGAAGGTGTGGGACGTTGTCCAAGCACAGCCACCAGGCAGGCTGGTGGCTCTGTGGCTTCATTTGTAGTGGCATTTACAGTCTCAGGTCGCAGGCTTTGGTCTGTCACGGTTACATGGGAGGGATCTGGGCTGGCTCTCGGAGGCCAGGGTTCGGGCCTCCCCTCTGCAGGCTTGAGTTTTCCCATAGGTACAATGGGCAGGTGGAAGGGTGTGGACTCCATGATTTCCAGGATTTCAGCTTTAAAAACATACCAGCAAACAAACAAACAAACAAAAACAAAACAAAACAAACCGACAAAACCCTATCTAATCACTCTCCCTCTCATCTTGGGTGCTTGAGGGATACCTAAGTATTTGGTTATCAGTTGAAGTCCGTGGTTTTCAAACTGAAGTCCTTGGAACCCAAAGGCTCTGGGGAAGCACCTCCAGCAGCAGATGGGGTGGGGTGGGATTAGAAGCGGCAAGCAGAGAAGGTTCTGGGCTTCCCCTGCCCACTTCAGCCAGAACGGCTCCATGTTACAGCCGGCACCGTGGGTAAGAGAGCCTGGGCGGGCTTAGCAGCCGCAGACCTTGGCTGGTTATTCGAGTCCCCTGAGCCTGTGTTTCCTCGTTCAAGCGGAGAGGGTCACAGGGGTGTCCACCTCGCAGGGCTGTTTGTGAGGATGAGCCAAGATCACGTGTGTCGAGGGCTTAGCACGGTGCAGGGCGTGCGACACATGTTCATGAGGTGCCGGCCAGTGTTATTATCTTTTCTGTTTTATCTACTGGACTTCCGGGTTAAGATTTGTCTTGAAAACAGAGTTTGCTCAAGAGAATATCTGGTAATCCACAGATCTAAAGCCGGCACAATTTCTAAAGTTGTCACGCACGCATCCCGAGTCCCGTAGTGGAACTCAGAATTGAGTTTGGGCTCACCTGCTGTTTGGCTCACCATTTGAAAGGGAAATGGGGGGATGTACAATGTGGGGGTGGCCGGTTTGGAGCCGCTGGAGCTCTCACTGGCCCTGGTTGGTAGACACTGGGGCACGGGGTTCCCTGGGGAAAATTGTATTTGGGAGATAGGGGGCAGAGGCCACAGGTGCTGGTGTGCTGTGGCCCAGGTCAGTGGAGGAGGAGGCGGCAGAGGGAGGGTCTGCTTGGCTTGTGGTGTGGCCCTGGCAAAGGCTAACTCAGAGCCACTGCTGTGAGGTCAAGGCCTCCCTCAGGCAGGGTCTTGGGACAAAGCTCTGGTCTGCCTCTTCCCAGGCAAAGCCAGGAGGCGGAGCCTGCCCGAGGGCAAGGCCATGGCATGGTGGGGCTCTGGCTAGTCACAGTGGGTGCAGCTGAGGAAAGTGCCCCTCCTTCCAGCAGCTAAGACAGACCCTGAGTGACTTCTCAGGGCAGCCTGGGTGGATGAACAGAAGCTCAAAGGCTATTCCTGGCCCGACCGTCTCTCTGTAGTGCAGCCTCCTTCCCCTCCTGGGGGTTGGCCAAGGAGGAAGTCCAGCTGGAAGACAAGTCACCCGGGGCCTCGCCCAGGATTCGGGGCACCCTGCCTGCCATGTGTCACTTGGGGTCCAGTCATGTTTTCACCGTGAGTGAAACTGGCTCTGGTCAAGAAGCCAAGGGTTTGACTCTGGGCCCCGCCGTCCCTCCCTTGGGGACCTGGGTCATCGCTCTGTCATCCGTGCAAAGGAAGATGGCAGTGGCTTGCGAGCCTGGTGGTCATCCCGTGCTTCTTCCACTGACACACGTTCAGCCCAAGTGAGGAAATCTTCCTACAACACTGTCCTAGAGACAAACCACCGGTTCCACCCGGGGCTTTGCCGAAGAAGCAGGGATTGGTCCTGCCGCTGGAGGCCAGCCGGCCAGCTGGAGTTAGAGACATGGCACAATACTGTACTGCAAGGGCTTTTAATGGCTTTTGAGGCTAATTTCGACCACACTTCTCATTTCTATCATCCTCGCTAACCTTAGAACCATGCTTTCTTCCAGGTGGTTCTAAGAGATGTGACTCTACTTTTGGTGAAAGACTTGTAAATTAGACGCTAACGTGCCGGTCAGTGTGGGATTATTGTTAGTATCACCATTTGTGACTCAGGGAAACTGAGTCTTCCTATTATCAAGAAGCGATGCCTTCCTCCAACCACCCTGAGGCCTCCACTGCTATGAGGAGGGGCCGCCTGCTCCCACCCCTCAGTCCACTCACTGCCCCTGTTGGTGTCCCATCCGTGCCGTTGTGACTTCTCTCTCCCATGTCCCATCCTGTCACTGTACGTCCGAATCTGATACAGTCTCTGCTCTATGTTCCCTCCTCGTGTCCTGCCTGGAACCTCCTGGCCCCCCGGGCCAGTCCTCAGGTTTCTGCTGTCAGCCAAGCTGAGAGGGCCTGTGCTCTCCCACAAACACTGTGCCTGGCTTGGCTCCATCCAGGAGTGAGGCTGACTCTAGGAGGAGAGGAGAGGGAGGGAGAGGAGAGGAGAGGAGAGAAGAGGAGAGGAGAGGAGAGGTGAGGAGAGGAGAGGAGAGGAAGGGAGAGAAGAGGAGAGGGGAGGAGAGGAGAGGAGAGGAGAGGAGAGGAGAGGAGAGGAGAGGAGAGGAGAGGAGAGGAGAGGAGAGGAAGGGCTGACTGTAGGCTGCTGGCTTCAGAAGTCATGCTGTCCAGCCCAGCTGGAGCAGGTGCAGGGGCTGTGCCCAGTGAGCCACCCCTGCCATGTCTGCAGAAGCCCTGGAGAGAGAGCACAGGATCTCAGCCCAGAATTAGACCTGAGGACCCTCAGAATATTGTGCTTCTCCCTGGAGGACCCACCCTAAGGGCATCTCTATTCCCTCCTCAGCTCTCCCTCCCACCCCCTGCAGTGCAGCAAGGAGAGCAGCCTCCTGGCCTCAGAAGTGAATGGTTTGGGAAGGATAAACCTTTGAAGAGCAGCCAGGCTGTGGGTGCCTGAGGCCTGGACAGAGGAGAGAGCGGCACTCAGGGGTTCTGGCCTCTGCTCTGCTAGCGGCCAGCTGAGAGACCCCGGGCAGATCACTGCCCATCTTTGGGCCCCAGTTTCTCACCTGTGCAATCCAAGTGTCAGTCTTGAGCTGCAGCCCTCTGTATGAGTCTTTAGGACTCTTGGCTTAGAGTTGAGAGAAGAAGATAATCTACCTTTGTCCTTTCTCCTTCCTTCCCTTGGTTCCACAGCCAGTAACACAGGGAAAGCTACAAACTCCCCACAAGCTAGAGTAGGCTGAATGGCAGGGCCCGACGGCTCAAATTCTGGGCTCCGCTCTATGTCTGGCTGTGCCTCGGTTTCTCTCTCAGCATAAAGGAGTTGGCTAGGCCAGTCGCTGGGAAGCTGTGAACACAAGCGGAAGTTCAAAGGCCATTTGAGAGGACTGGTTCCCGCACTTGGCCCTGCTCTGGGATCTCCTGGAGATACTGTTTTAAACGGAGATCCCTTGGCCCCACCCTAGGCTGAGTTCCCAGACTCCTCGAAGGGGCCTGGTTATATGTGACTAGGACACTTGGGAGCCTTTCAGCAGAGATGCATGGGAGTCTAGGAGGAGAGATTGGGCCTCACCCCCAGACCCAAGCACCCCTTTGTCCTTCAAGAGCTGTGGATTCTGCAGGCCTTAGGCAACTGGCATCCGAGACCCAGGTTGACTTCCCCCAGCAGAGCGGGGTGTAGAGGGAGCCCTGGTCCGGGGGAGGCCTGGCCTGGAGCTTGGTGATTAGACTGTGAGACCCAGGCAGCTGTGCGTGAGGCCCCAGAACTTTAGGCTGAGAGAGGACTGGTCCCACCAGGTCAGCTGTTGCTGGTGGCCCTGACTCCTTGCCCCCATGCCCTGCCGGCACAGGCCCACCGAGGATGACCCTGAGGCCTATCCTCCTTCCGAACCTCCCCTGTCGTCCATCCCTCTGCTCTCTGCCGTTTTCACGCTGTGTCTTTTCCTGTCCCATCTCTTCTCCTTGTTTTTCCAGAAAAGAAAGTCCAGTTCCAGCGTTCAGTTAATGGTGAGTGTCTGCCGTCTCCCCAACGCCGGTAAATGCTGGGCCTCGACCCCTTGCTCCTGCCTCCCTCCTGCAGGCTGCACTGGGAACCCGGGGCGGGGAGAGGGTGCTCAGGGCGTGCTTGGTACGTGTGCCTCGTGTGACAAATATGTGTGTTGTGTGTGCGTGTTGTTGGCGTGTTTCTGTTGACACCTCCCACTCCATGGCCCAGACCAGCAGCCTGACAGTAGACCTGAGAACTCTGTTGGGTATGAAGGTTGATTTGAACCCCATCCCACATCCAGCCCTTGGCTTCTCGCTTCTTCCCACCCTCTGCTCTGGAACTCATCTCAGGGCTTGGTTTGTGCCAGTTGTGACGAAGGGTGGAGGGGCTTGGTTTGGCCAATACAGTGGGTGCCGTAGAGGCCCTTTTTGAGCAAGGCTATACAGGGCCTGCCGGTGGCAGAGGAGCCACCAGCCCTGCCTCTGTCTAAACGTTCCAGTGGTGGCATGGTGGCCCATGTCCCTCTTCTTCTGATTCCATTGCTATCTCCCTCAGTTGTGTGGTTTTTCTCTCCCTGAAAAGCCCAGCTCTCTCACACTGGGCCTCCCTCTCTCTCTCTCTCTTCCTCTCCTGCCAATGTGTGTATTCCTTCCCCATTCTGTGGCCACCATGTGCCTCTCTGCCCCTCTACACCCCCTCTATGATCCCTTAAGCAGAAAGGGCCCAGGAACCCCTCCCAGCCCCTCCAAAAAGTCCAGGGTTCTCCTTGCATCTATCCCTCCATCCACGCCCCCAACCACCAGCCACCTGCTTAGCTGGGCCCTTCCCCCCTTAGGTTCAGAAGTCTGACAGGTTTTCAGGGGAGCATCCGGATGGCAGAGCCAATGAGGCTTACAGAAACCGGGCCGCAGCATCAGGCAGCCGGGGCAGCCCCCCACTGGCCGCGCCCCCTCCTGCTGGCCAGGCAGGCCTCAATGCCTCTCTGTTCTCTCTGGCAGGAATCTTCAGAGAGCACCAACACCACCATTGAGGACGAAGACACCAAAGGTAGGGGGGCCTTGCCTTTGGCGTCTGGGCCCCAAGGCCTCCTCAGGCCCCCTTCACTGACAGCCCCTGGTTTGAAGGGACCCCAGTGCCAACCTGGTGTCCTGCTGCTCTGCACAGAACCTCCCTTTGGTTCCTTCCAGGCTGAGTACACTGTTCCCGGTGTGGGCTACTCAGCTGGACTTTTCTTATTGTGGGGGTTATGCATTAACTTTCATATGTGTTAGAAAAAAATCAACGTAACACATTCACGTCATAAATGTATCACAGTGGTATGCATTTGCCTTTTGAAATAAGCATTTTTGAATTTTTTTTAAGTGTGCTGATTTTTAAGACATGAATAATTGTAAGGAAAGGGAAAGCAAAAGTGCAGAATGTTCACTTGTATGGGAAGCATGGGAAACCCTGTCCAGGAGCAACCTGGAACGCAGGAGCGACTAGCAGCCCTCAACCTCGGAGGGAGCAAACCGCATATAATTGTGATCGGATAGTAGGAGAGGAAGTAATAAGGACAGTAACAGAAACAATGGCTGTGCTGTGGGCTAACCTGGAAGTGCTTTATATTGACCTGAACTTCATCACAACCCTCTGGGGAGGTGCTGTAATTAACCCCATTCGTTCCACAGCCCCAGAAACAGGGGAGTGTCTTCAGGTCCTATAGCTCCCAAGGGTGGAGTCAGGATTTGAATCCAGGCAGTGTGACTCCAGGGCCTGGCTCATAACCACCACGCTGGGGGCCTTGGTGTGTGGAAAGCGTGCGTCTTCTGGCCAGGGGACACCAAATTGCTGGATGAGTTGGTGACATTCTGTGCTGTCTGCACCCGGCCCTCCTCATCCGCCTGGGACAGGGAGACCAGAGAGCTCAGGGTTCTCACACTTGGGCACGTGTCAGAGACGCCTGGGAGCCCTTGAAATCTAGGAAGACACCGTTGACCTGGAGAGATCACAGCTGGACCAGTTTAGCCATCTTTCAGTAGTTTAGATAATTTTCCTCTAAAAGAATATAATGATGGGGAAAAGAGCATTTCATTATGCAATAAATATTTTTGCACAATTGTAATTCAGGTTTTAAGACAACTTTGATACAATAAATGCCATGACTACCTCTTGACTCTGCCAGGATACCCTGGAAGATCAGCCCCACCCTGTATGGCCCTCTCTGATCAGTCCCAGCTGTGGGGGTGCGGGGGTGGGTGGGGAGGGACTCACTAACGCCATAGCCTGGCACTAGAGCAAATCCGTTTTCTATGATGGCACTAGTGCCAACCTTTAGAAACACATGATCTTGAAGAAGAATTCCTCGTTAGGGTCAAATCAGCCTCAAGTATAATTCTCCACCCACGCCTGGCCCTGCCCCTGTGGATTCTGATTCTATGGTTTTGCGTTGGGCTGAGGCATGGTGTTTCTGTGACCGGCCCCATAGTTGAGGGCTCACTGTCCCGATGGTAAGATTGGGATTTTTGAGGAGACTTGCCGTGGCCTCATAATTCTGGTCTCAGAGCAGTTAGGGACCATGGAGGCGAGCTAGCTCTGTGCTTCTTCACTGGGGTCCATTTGCTGGTGGACCTTGGACAACTTACTCAACCTCTCTGAGCCTCCTTAACAATAGAGTTGTTGATAATAGTTCCAACCTCAGAGGACTGCTGTAAAGGTGAAACGAGAGGCTGCATGTAAAGTGCTTACACGGTGCTTGGCACATGGAAATTGTTTAGTGAATCTTAAATTTTTTGTGAAGCTAGAGCTTGTGGTTGACAGGAAGCCACATGCCATTTTTGGAACATCAATTTTACTGAGAGATTATTTTAAGGCAAATGTTTATATATTAAACAGACAGAAATATTTGGAAGAGAATGCAAAATTCGTGTGCGCTGTACATGTAAAATGTGAGCTGCCAAAGACATTTCCACCTGGGGGAACGGCTCTGGGTTGCACCCCCAAGCCCCCACATTTACAGTCATCATTCTCTGCTTTAGAACACCATGGGAAATTTTGTGAAGCCTTGAATTTTATTTAGTTCATCTAGTCCCCCTTTTTTTCGCCCTTCTTTTTTACTTTTTAAAAAAATGTTATTGATTTTAGAGAGGGAGGAGGAGGGAGAGAAAGAAACATCAATGTGAGAGAGAGATGTTGATTGGTTGCCTCCCTTATGTGCCCTGACAGAGGATAGAACCTGCAACTTAGGTATGTGCCCTGACCGGGAATCGAACCCGTTACCTTCAGGTGCACCCGACAGTGCTCCAACCAACTGAGCAACCCCAGCCAGGGCTAGGCCCTCTTACAGGAGGAAGTCTGAGCTCAAGGAGGAGGAAGGGCACATCGGGTTATTGATGGCAGAACTGGGACCCATTCCCTGCCTCATTTCCCCACATGCAGAAGGCCCTGTCTGATGGGAGAGACACTGGCTCAGGCAGGAGCTTCTCCCGCGTTTGGCAGGAAAGAGGAGCCCTGTGCCTCCCACAGCTTCTCCAGGCCTCAGAGAAACTTTCCAGAGAACCACTTCCTGGTGTTGATCTGCTAAGTCTTCTTCCTAAGTGAGAATAGCAGCTGGTGGGGTGGATTCCGACCTAAAATTAAAATTAATTAGAAATGTCATCCTCCAGGGAACATTTTCCCATGAGCAAAGGAAGGGACATTAATATTTCAGAGCGCCTCGGGCCTCATGCACAGGACTCTCACCCTCCACATTTCACTGGGCTCTGCCAGGCTTTCTCTCCGTTCCCCCACCTCCTCCTGGTCAGCTCCATGAAAAATTAATGTCCTCTACAGCCCAAAGAGCTGCCTCAGAATCTCAGCAGAGACATTCTGGGGAATATCAGCCAGGAATGCTGATCCCATCTCAGCTTTGGCATGCTGTGTGATCTTGAGAGAATGCCTTAACCTCTCTGGGCCTCGGCTTTTCCATCTGTAGGGGAGCACTCCTGGACTGTCTGGGTGAATACCTGGCAGGTGGAAGTGCACAGCTTGCTCCCGAGCAGCTGCTGAATGAACCCCTCACACAGCAATGGGATTGCTGAGGGCATGAGAGGGGCCCAGAACCAGAGTGAATTTATCCAGATTTAAGGAACACTAAACTCCCAGACTTTTTGGTCCCAGAGAATGAAGCTAGGGAGATTCCTGCCCACTAGGCATTGACTGTTGGCATAATTGGTGTCCTGAGTGGCTGGAGGCAAAACCAAGTTAGGTGCTATCTCAGGCTACATTAATAGAGGTATAGTGTCCAAAATGGGGAGGGGAGAGAGAATGCTACTCCAGACTTGATATTGTGTAAAATCCAAGCCACACCTGGGATTATATGCTTACACTCAGTGAGGTGTTGATGAGTAGATGGCCCGCTTGAGTCAGATCCTGCAAACCACATCCTGAAGGCCTTCAGCCCTGAGGAGAGAAGACTGGCAGGGGAAAAGGCATAAATCCAGGCAGCAGACAACTCAGTGCAGGACCCCGGATGGCAGAAAGGAACCAGAACTATAGCTAGGGGCTTTCAGGGCGACAGATTTCAACTTGAAAGAAGAGGGAGGCTGGCACCAATGGTGAGAGCCGTCCCACAGTGCAGTGGGCTGCCCAGTGGGCTGCAAGCTCCAAAATGTCAACCAAGACGAAAGCCTCACATATAGGCTGCTGGGAGGTGTCCTAGCTGAGGTTAGAGGCCATCCTCAGGAGCAGCTTCCAATTCAGAGACTTGCACACGATAATAACCACAGGCCCGGCTGGTGTGGCTCGGTGGTTGAGCATCGACCCATGAGCCAGGAGGTCACAGTTTGATTCCCCATCAGGGCACATTCCTGGGTTGTGGGCTTGATCCCCACTGGGGGGTGTGGAGGAGGCAGACAATCGATGATTCTCTCATCATTGATGTTTCAATCTCTCTCTCCCTCTCCCTTCCTCTTTGAAATCAATAAAAATAAATTTATGTTTTAAAAAAGAAACTAACCACAGCTCTCATGTAGGGAGTGCCAGGTTCTGCTCTAAGTGCTTTACATATTGCATCATTATTTACATAAAGAAGTTGTTATAAAGGGCTGGGAACAGTAGCTGGTTCCTAGTGAGGACCACATATGTATCAGCTATTTCTTTTGATATATTCTTAACTCATAATCCTTAGAACCACCCTATGAGGTAAGTGCTATTGGTAGCTCCATTATACATATGGGGAAACCGAGGCATGGGGAAGTCCCTTGCCCAAGGTCCCAGAGCCAGGATCCAAACACTGGGATTCTGGCTATAGAATTCATGCCTTTGACCACTTTGCTAGCCTCTCTGAGATGACATGGGAAGCAGCCCACAGGGGACAGGGCATTAAGCACAGGTTCCTGGGATGTCAAGCTGGACGCATTCTTAAAGTCCAGATGGAGGAGGCAAGGGAGGTGGCACTGGCCCCATGCCTGCCGTGAGCACGTGAGCTCGGGGTCATCACCTTGGTTCCGCGTGGGAGAGGCTGGGATGAGGTGTCTCCTGGCAGCGGTGGCTTTTTTCCATCCTCGGTCTCCAGCTTCTATGCAGGAGGGCAGAGTTGACCAGGAGGCCAGGCTCTTGGACTCCCAGGGACAGGCCACTAGGCGACTTGGGCAATTCCAGGAAGCAGGGCAAAAACAGCAGCCCTAGACCCTGGTTTGGTGCCATCCACTCATTCATTCATTCTTGCTGCCTCTGCCCCAACCTCAGGCAAGACCCCAGAGGGACCTGGCAGAGCTCATGGTCTCAGATGGACTCCCATCCCCAGCCCTGGTGATTATTCAAAAATAATTTGTTGTTCATGGTGTAACAGACATTGAAGATGAACATTGCTATATCTGCTGAGCACCCACCATGTGCCAAGAGCTGTGCTGGGCAGGGGCCCCTGCCCTGAGGGGCATGTGTTGTGGGGGAGAGTGTGATGGGCTTTGGAGCTGCAAACGCTGGGCCATTGGTCCATGGTGCAGACAATTTAACTTCTCTCACCTCCAGATTGCTTACCTGTGATGTGGAAGTGATAGCCACATGAAGCTGTGCTGTGAGCTTTCAAGATCCTGCAGGTTGAGCACACAGCACAAGGCCTGGTGCGCTCATTTATTTAATAATGAGTTCCCCTGGGGGCAGGCCTGTTCCAAGCTCCTGGGATCTAGCAGCTAAGGGCAGCCACAGCCCAGCCTCCATGGAACTTGTATTCGAGTTGGGGAATAGACGGCATACAGGCCCCGAGCGTCAGGAAACATGGTGGGGTGCTGGGGCCCCGTGGAAGGGTCCCGGGCTGGGAGCCAAACTGCACCCTGTCTGCTCTATGTCCCTGGGCAAGTCGCAGCCCCTCCCGGGCCTCCGTTTCCCCAGTAGCGTGATAAGAAGGCTGAGTCCCTGTCTCCAGGGGTTCTTCCAGCCTGGCTGTTCTGTGACTCCGTGTCCTCTGGGTCTGAGGTGAGCTCCTGGTGTGAGATGGGGTGGGTGACTTGGGCAGTGATGAGGAAAAGGGCAGGGACAGCTCAGCCAGGCATGGCCTCTCTCTCTCTCTCTCTCTCTCTCTCTCTCTCCACCACATTCCAAACTGAGAAATGGTCTGCGTGTCCATCTACCTCACCTGAGGCTGCTCCATAGGCCAATGAACTGACCGGATTTGGAGCTGAGCTTGAACCTGGGGGAGGAGGCGGGGAGGGCGTACCTTTGGGAAACCATGCGAAGCTTCTGCAAGAACTGTCCTTCTGGGACCAAGAGACCTGGCCTCAAAGTCCTGCATTACCGAGGCTTAGTCTCCTCAGGTGTCGGCTGGGGGAAACCGGCCCCGCCAAGCTCCCAGGGTGTCTGTGAGGAGCAGATGTGGCAACCATGTGGGAGGATGCAGGAAAGGGTACTTACACCGTGTACCTACTGTGTGCCAGGCTTTGGTTTGAGTGCTTCGTGCTCATCACCTCCTCCCAGCTTCATGCCAAGGAGGGGAGCACTGTCATCTCATCGCATAGACCAGGGAACCGCCTTGTGGCCCGCATTTGCACGCCTTGTAAGGGCCTTGGTTGGAATGTATTTATTTTCTTTTTTTAAAGAGTACAGCCTAGAATGAAAGGTCCTTCTACCTATAATTGCTCCCGAACTTTTTTTTTCTTTTCTTTTCTTTATCAATTTTTGGAGAGAGAGGAAGGGAGAAGGAGAGAGAGCGAAACATTGATTGGTGTCCTCCCTCACACACCCGACCGGGAATCGAGCCTATAACCCGGGCATGTGCCCTGACAGGGAATTGAACTGGCAACCTTTTGGTGCACGGGACGATGCCCAATCAACTGAGCCACACTGGCCAGGGCCTGGGTTGGAATTTAGATGAAGCCTGTCTGGTACTGAAGCCTGGTTTCTTTCCACGATACTTTTGGCACTGAATGAATGAGAGGTGATGTCTCCATTTTACAGATGGGAAAACTGGAGCTCAGAAATCACACATATAAGAAAAGTGACGTCTAAGCCTCTACCAGAAAGACAGCAGCTGTTTGTATTGTTTCGGTGGCGGCAGGGGAGGCCGGGTCTCATTAAGCCTAGAAAGTTCTGGAAAGCTCAGAGCCTGTTTCCTACAGGCACCCAAATGGAGCATAAAGCTCCCCATACCTAAGGGATGAATAAGCCCTGAGACTTGTTAGCGGCCCCAATTTGGGCATGGCTGCTAGTGACAACCATGACAGTTGACCTTGTTTTGATAGGAAATTGTATTTGGAGTCAAAACAGGCCTAGGGTCGGAATGCCCTCCATGGCTGCTTTTTGGAGGCAAAGGCTGCCAGCTAAGACACTGGCTCTGTCCTTTGTAGCTGAGGGAACTTTCATACCATTCTCACCTTTCTGGGCCTCAGTTTCTTCTTCTGTGAAATGGGAGTAATGATACCTACCTGTCATGGCTACTGTGAGGATAAATGAGACGATGTATATGAGGCCCTCAGGTCCCAGGACAGGGTCTGGCACATGATGAGGACTCAGGAAATGGTAGTTGGTGCTTCATTACTGTCACGATTGCTACTATTTCTGTGTCCCCTCCTGCCTTACAGTGCGGAAACAGGAAATTATAAAAGTGACAGAGCAGCTGATTGAAGCCATAAGCAATGGAGATTTTGAGTCCTACACGTGAGTCGGCTGGGCCCGTCCTGCATGTCCTGCCTGGATTGTTGTTCGGGGGGCTGATGGCTAACTTTGGGGTCCTCGTCTCTGACCCTCAGTCACTCACTCTGCATGTGCTGTGAATCAGAATGAACTCGAGTTTCTGTTTTGCGTTCAGACTTTATGCTTTTATTAAGCTTTCTGTCCGAAATGCTTCTCTATACCTTAGTCCTGCTCCTCCTGCTCCTCATTCTCGTTCCCCAGGACTCTTTTGCTTCCCTGAGGAAAGAGGGGGTGATCTCCACCGCAGCACGGGCCTCCTCAGGAAATGCGCTGGGAAGGAGGAGAGGGAGGCAGGTCCCTCCTTAGTCTTGCCTTGTGGGCCTGGGTCTTCACCCTGGACCTTCTCAGACCTCTGACCTCAGCTGGGCAGGAGTGGGCAGGAATCCACAGGGTGTGTACCTCCAGTGAGCAAGGGTGAGCAAAAGAACCTCAAAACGGAACCTACAACTCTCTAGGGAATAAGGCAGTGTGCAAAAATAACATGAAAGGAAACAGGTGGTAGAAGATGTTCTGTGCACACCGGGGCCAGCCCTGAGAGGGGCAGCTGTGTGCAAAGGCTGGGCTGGAGCGCCCCCTGATGGTCACCCAGACACCCTTCCTGGTCTGGCCCAGAAGCCGGCCCTGAGCCTGCCTTCAGCTGCTCCAGGGAGAGCCAGGATTCCAGGCTGAGGCCTCAATCTCTTGGCGAGGATTGTTAAGGTCTGGGCCCGGAGACCCCACATATGCTTTCAGTGGACAGAAACTGCCAACTAAGGCAGAATAACCCTTGCCTGTTGGGTTCGGTGAGGGGAGAACAACCTGGCTAGGTTTGCTCCTTGGGCAGCCCGTTCTTGGTTTCCACTGTGCCCAGGAGCTGAAGTAGGTTTCCCAAAGGCCTGGCAGTCGCTGTGGGAGGGTTTCCACAGCGACGGGTGGCAAAGCCTCAGAAATCTATTGGTTATCTCTGGAGGAACAGGACCTTGGAGGGTGCAGGTGTTAGACTGAGGCCACAGGTACATGTGTGTGCATGCACTTGTTCATGCATGCAGGTTTGCGATTGTGTGCACAGGGGTGTGTGCACTGGGTGTTGCACACAAGCATGGAAATGCGCTGTTAAATCGGTTTTGCAGCGGCCCTAGAAAGAGTTCAGTCAGCCACGGGAGAGCCAGAGAGTGGCTCCGGGAGGACACAGCCAGGAAAGGGGGGAAAGAGAGGTGGCGCCTGTGGACCCCAAGTCTCTCAGTGCCATTTCTGGGGACTCCCCCACTCGGTGATGTCACTGTCACTTTCTCTGGCATCTGTAGTGTCCTCTAGGTTTTGACCCCGTGCCATGCCCTCTGATGCCCGTGAGGCCCTGAGTCTGGCCCCATGTGCCCCTGGATAAGTCCCTCCATGTCATGAGCCTTGGTTTCTCTACATGTACAGTGAGGCTGAAGCAGATGGTCTCCTTCAGAGGCAGGGATGCCCAGAGACCTCCTGGAGAGGGGCTTCCCCAATGGTGCTCAGTCTCCCCGATGTTTACAGCTCAGACTCCCATGTGGTCTGAGCACAGCCCCGGCCCCTGGTTAATCCACCCGAAGAATCTGAGGTTCTGAGTGGAAAAGCCAGTTGCCTGGGGTTACAGGGACAGAGCAGTCAGGGCAGCCAGGGACAGAGCACCCTGCACTTGCTAGAAAATGCTGGGCCTGACCCCCTCCTCCAGTTGTCTTCAGTTACCCCCCAGATTGGGACCTCTATTTTTCCTGGGGTACTTTCTGTCCCTGGCTTCACTGTCATTGTCACAGGAGTCCATGTTGTGCCAGAGACCTGGGGGTGGGAGAGACCATTACCCCCCACCCTCACCCCCCACCTCCCAGCTGTCAGGGTCTCTCAGAAAACTGAGAACAGGCAGGGAGCATTGCCCTGAAAATACACAGCGAGGGCCTCCCTGGCCACGCCCCGGGCGCCCTCCTCCCAGGCATTGCTTTGTGGAATGCTGTTTTCCTCATCTCATAGTGAGGGCTGCTGTTCAACAGGGCACCTCTGTTTAAAGTAGCAAAACGCACCCTCTCCAGGGACAGACCTTCTTGGCGAGCGCAAGTCACTTTAATGTGAGTGGAAAGGTCCCCTTCCCAGGAACCCAGGACAAATTAGGAACTCCCCACCCTGTGGATCTGCTGCCTGGGCAGGATGGGGTGCAATTTGGAGAGTAGCCTCCAGGCTGGGCTGTGCAGGGCACAGCTCTGCACGCATTCATGGGGCTCTTGCTTGGAGAGGTTAAGCCGCCTGCTGGTAAAATGGCAGAGCCAGGACCTGAACCAGGCCTCCAAATTCTAAATGGCACCAGCCAGTCAGCGATGCTCCACACTACACAGTTCGCAAGCCCCTTCCCCATCCATCAGCCTCATTGATCTTGCGAGGCGGGTGCAATTACTCCAATTTGACAGGCTCACCCTCTGTGGGTCCAGGCCCCTGGATGAGAGGGTGGCTCTGGGAGGCCGCCCCAGCCCCTCTTTCCTCTGACTTCCTCCCCCAGGAAAATGTGTGACCCCGGGATGACAGCCTTCGAACCCGAGGCCCTGGGGAACCTGGTCGAGGGCCTGGACTTCCATCGATTCTATTTTGAAAACCGTGAGCAATTCCTTCTGTCTGGGGTGCCTGTTGTCTGCTCTCGTTCCGTGTCCTGCCGGATGGCACAGCAGGGTGACGGGCAGGGCCCCGGGGCGGCTCAGGAGCCAGCGAAGAGGAAGATCCCGTGTGGACAGGGGTTGGTACCACCTTGGTTCCCTCTCCTAACCCTCGTCTGCCCGACTGCCAGCTGCCCCTCCTGTGGCTGAGGATGGGGATCTGGGATAAGCATGACAAGCCCTCCCAGCCCTCTCCTGCCCGCGACCCTTCCCATGAGGGCACACATCCAACTGATAGTCATCTTGACACCTGGGACCACCCCAGCTGCCCAACTGGTCACAAGCTGGCTTGTGGGTTGTTACGCAGGTGCCCCCTCTGGGTGGGGAAGAGGAGAGGCCCCGAGCTCACACTGCTGTGCCCTGCCTGTTTGTCTGGGTCTCTGTCCGAATGTCTGTCCTCTCTGGGCCTCTCCCCTGCAGGAGAGACCCGGCAGCTTTGCAACCAGGGGCTGTCGGGGCTGAGGCTGGGCCTGACCCAGGGTGCTTTCTGCCTGTGTCCGTGTCTCACCTTGGCCAGGGGTCAGACAGGGATGAACCAAAGCGCATGCAGGTTAGGATCACGCAGCTCGGGGCTCGGAGGAAGGCCTTGGAGGTGACATGTCCAGGGTCTTCCAAAGGGAAGGCAGGTACCACTGAGGCTTCACCCGATGATTTCCGGGGCACGTGGGCACCGCTCCAAGCCACATTGGTCCTCACAGTGAGAAAGCTGGTCCCATTCTAAATTCTCCTTCAGTACATCTGGCTCCATCAGGGGGAAAGACTCAGTTGGGTGCTAGTCTGTCTTGGACGCCCCGTATCACTTTCTAATTTCCCTCTTCATCAAAGAGAGTGGCTCAGACTCTTGCAGGCAGGAGTGCGGAGCTAGGATTACAGCGCTTCATTTCATTTCCGCTGGACTTATTAAAACTGTGTTCTGTGATACTGGTTGTCACGAATGGCTGCGCTAGAAAGTTTTCTTTTAAAATATCCATTACTAAAGTGGATCGGTTTAAGGAAATACTTTAACGAAGTATAGGTGGCAGTTGTAGGTTAAAATAAAGGAGGTATTTAAGTGGCTGAAGTAGGATCTAGTCCAGCTCTTCATCACACAGAAGGGGAAACTGAGGCTCAGAGAGGGGAAGTGACGTGTCCAAAGGAACCCAGAAAGTCGGTGGCAGACCCCAGTCCTGACTCACTGCAGCGCCCTTCCCTTCCCTTCCCTTCCACGTGCTGCCCCCTCCTCTGTGCTTCCCTTCCCTTCCCTTCCACGTGCTGCCCCTCTGCTCTGTGCACCAGCGGCCTTCAGCTCGACACTGCTGCCTGCACCCACTCCGACTGAGTCTTACAGGGTACAGGGGCTCAAGAGCACCCCAGAAAGCTGTGAAGAGCAGCTGCATTTTCTGTGATCAGTCACACTCTGATTCTTTAAGGCTAGCAATGGCAGTTTAATTTTCATGTGAAGAGAGGTGGCTGGATTCCTCCCCCCGCCCCCCACTCCAATCGGTCCCCATCACCCTAGAGCTCCCTGAGGGGTCACGGAGGCCATCTCTCTACTGGTTTGTCCTCTGGGGGTGCTGGTTCCCCAGTGTGTACTCCAGCCTTCACAGAGCAGAGACCAGGCTGAGCTGACTCTCAGGGCTTGGGGAGCCAAGGGAAAAGAACACAGAGAGAAGCTCGTGTAGCCCTTGGCCTGCGGCATCGCCCCAGCCCCCTAAACTCTAAGCTTGACCATCTGGTCACGTCACAGGACCCCTGAGAGCAAGACCCAGAGTATCTGCCTGCTTCTGGCTGAGTCCCACTCTACTCCCTGCCTTTTCCTGCTGGAGGCCCCGGTGGCTTCCTCCCATGCTATCCACCACGGCAGATGTTAAAAGTCTCCAATCTATTCAAGAGAAACAACATCAGGGTGGTTGCTGCTTTGAGAAGACCCCTCAGGACCCCCGCCCTCGTTACCAACATCAAGGCCCAGTGCCCTCAGCAATGCAAAGCCCTGTCTGCCCCCCTGGGATTGTTCTAGATTGCTCTAATTCAGTCCCACAGAGACACTGACTTCTTTTAGGTTCTACTGCTTTTCTTTCAAAACCTGGCCCAGCTTAGAACAAGTCAGGTTGCTTCTCTGGACCTCAGTTTCCAGATCTGCTAAATGGACGCATTAAACTAGACCACCTTGACTACCTTCAGCTCTGGATGCTGTCAAGGATGCTTACGGAGGCTTCCTTGCATTTGGAGGAGGGCCACTGGTGACCTCTGACCTCTGAGGTCACTCCCAAGCCTACAACACAAAAGCTGTACATTCTCTCTACGAGTCCAGAATTGTAAAGCTACATTAGTCTACATACCTAAGACTCAGTGATTTTGAGTCCTTTATCCAAAGCCTGGGTAGCGTGTGATTATAATATTAGGGGTGGATACTATTGGAGGCTTTCTACAGTCACGGGGGAAAGGAAGACATTTTAGATTTTTCAGGAAATCAGTGACTCACAAACCTGGCTGGGCATCAGAATCAGCGAGGGTGGGGAAGGGGACAGGGGCTTCTTAATAGTACAGATTCTTGAACTGGCATCTCCACGGTGGACGTGTGCTTTCTGTGGGGTTTGGGCCTACCTTTGGGCTATACGAAGGGAAAGCTAAGGGTTATTCCCGAGACCCTGTCCAGTCCCTCCCTGGGTCATCATCATCTTTCTGTGCTTTTGTTTTCAATCTTGCTGGAAAAAATTAAGAATTCCTAGAATCAAATAACTAATAATAATAATAATAATAGCTAATATTTTATTTTCCATAGAGAAAGATGTTTCAGATCTTTCAAAAGATGCATTTGTCAGTCCTATGATTGTAAGAGCTATGCATTTCTCTCTAACTCTGGAAAGCTCCGTGACCTCACCCTACGAACCGCAAATACCATCCTTACAATCCCAAGAGTCTAAGGTTCTACAATCTTAATATTCCCCAAGTTTCCTTCATTCTACATGTTGAGAGCAGTGGTGTCCAATGAGGGGCCCACAAGCCATACCTGGACTGCACACATGTTTTATGTGGCCTGCATGACGTTTTAAACTTGAATTAGATGCCAATAATTAAAAATGAGACATTTCCTCATAAAAATCCAGATTTCCTGATTCTCTTGAAAAGTCAGAAAGTGTGGCACCAGGGATCCCAGTTACTCACATAGCAACCTCTAGGGGAGCTGTGTACAGGGCGCCCCCTGTGGATGGAATGTGGTCAGCTATTCACCAGTGTCCACCACTCGCTATTGTCTCCCTCACCCAGAGGCAAGTGGTCAGTTGTCATTTAGCATTTTGTACCCAGCCCAGCCCCTCACTTATGTACTTGCCTGGCCTCTGTAGGCATCCGGGTTCGAGACTCTGGTCTCAACTGATTTGATTCTATAATCATCTAAGTTCTCTTTTTCTGTGTCTGAGACACTATGATTCTAAAATTCCATTTCCCTGTGCTTGAAGACGTCAGGGTGTCTGAAATCCATCATCCCTAAGCGGGGATGTGACCTAGTCACCTAGGAGTTCTGCCTTGACATCCAGGTGGCTGAGCCCTGTCACGGAGATGAGGCAGGCAGAGGGGTTCCCCTGGGAATGTGCTGGGAGTTGGGGGAGTGAAGGACACGAGGCAGAAGTCCCTCAGTTGCATCTGCTCTGCTCACTCCCGTCCCCGCCTGCAGTGTGGTCCCGGAACAGCAAGCCTGTGCACACCACCATTTTGAACCCCCACATCCATCTGATGGGCGACGAGTCAGCCTGCATCGCCTACATCCGTATCACTCAGTACCTGGACGCCGGCGGCATCCCCCGCACGGCCCAGTCGGAGGAGACCCGCGTCTGGCACCGCCGGGACGGCAAATGGCAGATTGTCCACTTCCACAGATCGGGGGCGCCCTCTGTCCTGCCCCAGTAAGAGCCCCTCCTTCCTGCCTCGTCATTAGGACCATCTAAAGGGAGGCCATGGGATGGGGGCGGGTGGACCGCGGGAGGAGACCAGGCCTGCAGGTCCCAGGGGAAGAGCTGGGCGGGTCCCTTAGGTGGTAGCTACCTCCATCTGAGGAGGCAGGCCAGGGCGGGTGCCGGAGGAGAATGGGGCACCTCGGATGCACCTGCATGACCCACCGCATTGTTGTGTCTTACAGTTGAAGGGCCAGGCGGGGGCGCTGTACTGCAGATATCTGCTCATCCTCGTCCGTCCGTCAGTGGAATGTCGCTGCTGGTTCTCCCACCTTGGATTTTGCTGGAATTCCCCCACTCACATCATCCCACCACCACCACCACCACCGTCACTTTCATACCTGCATCAAGAAAACCTACCCACAAAGCCATCACGTCTTCAGAGCAAATGGCCACATCTCCCTGAGCAAATGGCCACATCTCCCTGCCGCCTGTCAGTCTCAGTCTCTGTCACCAGCCAGGGCGGAGCTTCCTCAGGCCCGGGTGCCTTGGGTGCTGGCCCTGAGGACCCCCACCTGGCTGCCATTGGCCTGACTTGCCTTGGCTACAGAATGCCCAGCTGTGTGTTCCCCCAGGGGCTGGGGAGTCAGGAGATCCCTGATCTCTCCTCTTCCAGGATTCCTCTGGGAAAGGCAGATGAACCCGCCACCCCTGCCCCCACCTGCCCCGTGGGAGAGAGTGAGAGAGGAGCCGATGGCAGGAGCCTCCGGCTGCAGACTGCCTCCCTCACTCCTCTCCCTTCCCGTCCCGTCCTGGCCTCCAGGCCCCCGCCTGACACTTCTCCCTCAGTGTGGGGAGCGCGATCCTCTCAGGGTGCCCCCACTCTTCTCCTTCTTCCTTCTCTGATGTTTACCTCCATCGCTGACCACCCATTCCACCCTCCATCGGGCCCGGGGAATTCCAGCTCCATCATATCTGAGGGAGAAAACCTGATTGCTTCTTGGGGGCAAAAGAAAGCAACATCTAGGTTATCACTTCTACTTGGACCGCATGCCTTTTTATAGCCAAACTCCCGTGTGTTTCGTAAATGGATCTCACGTTCACTGATATTTATGTAATAACTAGACCTCTCCATTATTGTAAGAGGGTTGGGTTGGGTTGGGTTGGGAAGGGAGGTGGGAAGAGGACAGAGGGGTAGCTTTTTTCCTGTTCGTTTATTTATTTATTTTTCAATGTCACCTCTGAGATGGACTTTGTCACCAGTGGATCCCCAGCCTCAGCGAGGAGGACCTCACCGAAATTTTGGTCCCAAGGTTCTTTTCAGGACGGAATCAGATGTCAGTGCTGATAAGACACAGTGAATGGGGGCCGAGAGCCTGGGGGAGGTTTTCAGGATGGAAATAGCTGGACTTTTCTTTGCTTGCCTCCCAAACGGGAGTCCTCACGACCACGCTTCCCAACCTTTCATCCCAGCTCCTCTGTGTGCCACCCCCAGCGTCCTCACCCGTCTCTGGCGGAGGACCCTGAGCACGTGTCTTCATCACCCACCCCTCGGTGTCTGCTGGTCCACGCCGGCCACCGGAATGTCTACTCTCCACGCCTCGTCTTGCAGCCGTGGGTTCGCATCGCTCCCTCCTTTTTTCTTTTCCTTGCTCTTGCCCTCTTCCCTGGGACTGACTCTGATGTGGAAGGCCTTGGCACACCCACTAGGATCTACTGTCTGCACTATTTTCTTTGCATGACTTTATATGCAGTAAGTATGTTGAAAAAAAACAGAAAAGAAGAAAAATCACAGCAAAACCAATCTACATGTTTTGGACAAAAAAAAAAAATAGAGGTTGTATTCTCAGCGTCCGACTCGGAAATATGTTGCTGCCTCTCTGTGCTTCTGGCCTCTGTGTGGCCGTGTTTTGCCAGCATGAGATATTGTCCCCTCTGGAGGATTTAGGGGAGGACGAGCCGCATCCCCAAGGCTTAGAGGAGGCACTGATTCCCCCAAACCTCCCGGGAGTCCTGGGTGGTGGGTGGAGCAGGACTGATGGGGATATTTGATCCAGACCTTTCTGCGTTTTCCCCGAGGGCGGGCTCTTCTCTCAGTTGCTGACGCCCTGGGGACAGGTGAGGCAGGCAGGCTGGGGCCACAGGCCAGTCAAGAGGCTGCCCAGGCCTCCTGGTCTCCAAACTGGTCGATCACTGGCCTCTATTCTTGGTAGAGACCCTGCTGCCGAGGCCCAAGGGTGGGCACTGGCTTGCCCCAGGCCCAGAGGTTTCCCAGTAAGGCCCACTGATCCCAGCATCCCAGCAGCAGAGGCCTGCCTCCCTGTGAGCTGCCAGCTCCCACAGCCATGCCCAAGCCAGAGGTGTGGCCTTCCCGGGGATGCTGCAGCCATCAAGGCCAATTCTGGTCCCTTCCTCAGGCCTGGTTTCCCCATCAGTGATAGGGGTTAAGTATTCCTGCCCGGCCTGTGTTGCAGGGCTGATGGGAGAATCGAATGGGGTGGCACAATCGACGGGGTTAGGCACTGGCTGGACTCCCGTTCCGTTCTGAGCCTGGCCAGTCCCCTCCCCCGCCTGCCCGCTCATTCTCCTCTTTCGTGCCTGTCAACTGCTTATCAGTGGTGGACTGCGGGGGTGGGGCAAGAGCTGTGGTTTGGGGGCCATTGGGATTCCATTCCCAGCTCTGGCCAGACTTGCAGTGTGACCCCGGGAAACCCTTTCCCCGCTCTGGTCCCCACTTTCCCACCAGAGGAAACTGAGCTGGAGGACGCCGAGGTCCCGCTTCCCATTTGTTAACACACTTCCTGCCCACCATGTCCCTCTCCAAGTACCAGGGAAGTGGAGGCAGGTCCCTACCGCAGGCTGAGATGGCCCCAGTGTGAAGGCCTCGCCTGCGGGTAGGTGGGCGGCCAGCTGGTGTGGACTGCAGGGCACCGGCACTGGCACCCGTGTGATCCTGAGGCAGCAGGCAGGGGAGACAGACGGACCACGCAGCCCAGAGCCCATGCCCCTCCCTCCCCCAAACACAGTCAGCTCTGTGCTCCTTCCAAACATCCTATAGATGCAAAAAATCCAGACCTAAGACAAGGCCTAGGTCCCAGCATGCAAACACGTTTACAGGAAAGCATTCTCCCGGGTTCGTGCCCACGTGGCGCTAACCCTGACCATGGCCTCCCGTCTCCCTTCATGGGAAGACCCTCTGGGGGGATGTGTTTGCCAGGCTCCCCATGCTGGTTTCTTTGTTACTATTTGTTTGGGGTTTTGTTTCAGTTCTTTCTTTTTTTTTCTTTTCTTTTCTGTTTTTAAAAATATGTGGCTGTGAACTTGAATGACCACTGCTCAAACTTTCTGCTATTGGGGGGGAGGGGGGGAAGGAGGGGCGTCTGTTTTATTCTTGGTGTTTTCAGTGCAATAAATAGCTACAAACTTCTGTGCAGGCTGTCTCCCTGTCTGAGTCGAGCACACACCGGGAGGTTGTTTCCTGTTCTGGATCTTCCTAGATGCAAAATGAACACCCAGGCCTTCATTGTGATTGGACCAACTTGGTCACATACTCAAGGCTGAGCCAATCACTGGGACATTATGCCTGGGCCACATGCCACAACCTTAGAGACAGGGATGGGGCTCTCAGGCACCTGGGGGCCCTTAACAAAAGCAAAGGGGTTGCTCTAAGGAGCCAACAGCGAAGTCTCCCTCGGGGGCCTGGGGGGAGGCTCTTCTCTTCCAGGCCTGGGTTCCTTGGTTCCTTGTATAACGAGGAGGTTGTTCCAGAAGTCCCTTCCCACCCATTCTTTTCTCACAGACAAGCCCCAGGCCTCAGAGCCCCTGGAGACTGAATTGGACAAGGGTCTTTTTACCCACAAACTATCTGTGGACAGAGTGCATGGGGACAGGGGCCTTGGGGCTGGACAGAGGGAAGGCGTGAGAGGTTCCACTGGCCCATTTGAGGCCACATTTGAGGCCAGTTCGGTTCCTTGAGCCCAAGATGCCCAGACTGAGCCAGCGGGTAATGCAGAGGCTTTGGTGATCCACCATCCTGGTTTGCAGGCAGGGATTTTCAGTGCTAAGCCTGGGACAGTCTTGGGCAAACCAGATGGGTTGGTCGCTCTAAGCCATGTCCCCTAAGAGGTGTAGATTCCACAGGACCAGGGAATGCGCCTTCTGGAGTCCACAGTCCCCTCTTGCTCATGCTCCTGGTGTCCCGGGGTTCCAGAATGTTTGCACCAGCCACTTTCTGGGTCTACCCTCACTGCTGCTATGTGGGGTGGCCAGGGGGCGTGTCATGGGCATGTGCCCCTAGCACACACCTGAGGACCTTCTCAGTGACAGCAGAGGCCAAGGCTGATTGCAGAGGGGCTTGGGGGCTTCCGCTGACACTCTTGCCCTGGAGCCTGCAAATCTTAGTGCCAGGCCGCCCAGCTCTGCCTTCATGAGCCCTGGATCTGCCGCCTGGGCAGAAGGCAGGGTTTGAGGCTGGGGGTGCCATTGCAGACACTTGCCAGCAGGTGGAAGCACAGGAGCAGGTTACAGGATGTCCTGGGCCCTGTGGGGCTACTGTGCTCTGGGCGCTCCCAGTTGACCTTTAACTCTCCGACAGTGCCAGCTCCACTTAAAACTCTATTATTAGCTAATGGAGCATGACCTTGTATAGTTCACAGGCCTCTCACCACACCTCTTGTCCCAGCCACAACAGCCCTGTTCTGAAGATGAAGACAATGAGACTCAGAGGCAAAGGCTTCTCGCAAGACAGTCAGGGCTCCAGGGGTGGGTTCCACTTCCTCCAGGATCTCCCTGCCCTGGCCCGTTTCCCGGTCTCGTCTCCGGGCAGCCAGCACATAGTGACTGGGGTTCTTAGGAACTCATTTGTCCCTTCCAGCTATTGCCTCATGTCTCAGTTGTCTACACCCCCGTCTCCACCTCCTCACTGCCCATGTGCTCCAAACCCACTGCGGATGGCTGGTTACCCCGCGTTCTCCTGCTCAGCCCAACACCTCCTTGCCCTCAGGACACAGCTCTGGTATCTTCTTGGGGAAGTCTCCCCTTCTCTCCCAACACACACCGGGGTAGGTCCTTCTATGGGCTTCCATGGCTCCTCTACCACCTCACACAGCCCTCTGTTTATTTGTTTGTTTTTTATATTTTATTGATTTTTTACAGAGAGGAAGGGAGAGGGATAGAGAGCCAAAAACATCGATGAGAGAGAAACATCAATCAGCTGCCTCCTCACACCTCCTACTGGAGATGTGCCTGCAACCAAGGTACATGCCCTTGACCGGAACCGAACCTGGGACCTTTCAGTCCACAGGACGACGCTCTATCCACTGAGCCAAACCAATTAGGGCACAGCCCTCTGGTTTGAAGTCACCTTAGCAAGCATCTGCCAACCTATGCACTCCTTGAAGTCTCGACAGCATCTCATCCAGGCTCAGGCCACCTGCAGCAGGTGT